TTTGATAATGAATGCTCTCAATCATCTTCTTCTCAACCTCCACCAACCATTCATCCACATTTCCTCTTGCTGCATTTGTATCAACAATATTCTAAAATTACACATACTCTTATTCTGATGAATACATTCCATGAATCTTTTTCTCTCCATCAATCTTTAATTTTTAAATACCTTCAAAACATTTCTTCAAATGAGGTTGCACTCTTTAAGGATCCTTTGTTTCTGATAGAATTTCCAATAATTCATCATTTGAAAGGAAATAAAATCTTGGGAAATTCGTTCTCTTACCTTCCAAATAGGAATTCAAACCTTTTTAACACACTTCTAAGGATGTATGGCACTCTTTCAATATGTCCAACATTTTTCTATTCTTTGTGTATTCAATTACTTTAGGATTCGAATTTACTTTATTCATAATTGACTTCCAACTTGCATCAACCTCCTTGAATCTTGTACCTTCCATAGCAAGATGCTTCAAAATGTCTGGACTTGTAAACACTGGCTCCAAATACATCCAAACTCCTTGGACCTTTAGCCAGTAATCAAAGAGAGATTAGGTGTAGTATAAAAATGCTTCCCATTCAGCAATTCTGCTCTCAAAATTTCTTGCATAAGGAGAACCCTTCATCGTGATTGTCTTTACAATTTGATCATCCAACAAAGTTTAGACTTCATCATTGGATGCTCCTGAAACTATAAAGGTACCAGTGTCCTTCCATGGTTTAAGTTCTGTAATTACATTATCCCAATCTTCTTGCATTTTGTTTAAGATCTTCTCTAAATTGTATTCTTTGGTAGCAGAATCAGAAATTTCTTCAAATTTAAGAAAATGTTATTTTAAATCCAATTCAATTAATTTCGATAGTTATTATTCTTTGTCTGGTCTGACTGGGAATCCCATAATTTATGAGATCTCTTCCCAATGTCTTTCCTTCATACCTGGATTAGAGAACACTCTAATCAAAGGCAATTGAACTTAGAAGTCATTAATTTTGTCAGACAATTATTTGATCAATTATTGTGTGCCTTAAGGAGTGATATTCTTTGGGAATTAGTAGGTCAGTTTTTTGGCTTAACTTAACATGGATTTGACATCCTTCTCAATAGTTTCTGCATCTAATCTGAAGATAAATTTAGCCTTTGTCCAATTCATTGAATTCTATTCCCAATCTCTCAATTGATGCCACAATTCTTCATAAGGCTTGATACTATTTTAAGCTTCTTAGAGTTTGACAAATTCAGTAGGTTACCATCCCAATTGTTCTTCTCTCATTTAGATGTCCTACATTTCAGCTACATATTCTTATAATTTCTTAACGTGATTGTCAACAATGTCATTGGCTTCTTTAACTTAATAAGCAGAAGTATAAGATGTTTTCAATCTATTGATGCTTTGGGTAATTTCATCAAGATTATTCTAAAACTTCTCTCTTCTTTCTCTAATAAATTACTCCAATTAATCTCTGTCCTTTTGAATACGAATTTCTTCCTAATCCACCTTGAGCATCAAAGAATGAACAAGTCTGGATGTGTTAGAAATCTAGATCAAATCATCCTCATTAATTTAATAATTAGTAGTGTACAACTAATACAACCACTTCTGTAAATCTATGAAATCGTTTTGTACTTTCTTATTTTCTGTTTTTCTGATCTTCTCCAAGGCTGCTTCCAATTCAACCAACCTTTCAGTAGTGTCTGCTCTACCTTAGATGTTATCTTAGAGTGCTTAGATTTCTTTGCTGATTCTCTAATTGGTAGTCATAATGTAATCATGAATGTTTCTCTCCAACAATTAAATGATCTCTTAGATGATGTCCAAATACTTCTTCTTTACTTCACAACCATCAACCAAAATCATATTGACTCTTACAAAGAATGGGATAGCCTCATTTACTTACTCATACAATTATGAATAGTTATTGAATGCTTGAATAAATTCATTTCTGGTTCTTGCAACACTTGTCCATTATGTAGCCTTTTCAGTTTCTCTTAATAAGAATGAATACTTTTCATAAATCTCGAGAGTGCTCTCAACATTCTTCAAATTGATATCCAAAATTTCATTGATTGTCTTGTAGGTTGAAACAAAGGTGTCATCATCTTCTGGTATTTTCCAAAGAGAGGTTTTCTCACTTCTTGAGATAGTATTTTCAGGTCTCTGGAAATTCTCTGAACACTTGTAGATATCATCAATTAATTTCAAAATTCCATTTTTAATACTCATCTGAAGATGATCAGCAAATTCAATCTTATTCCCATCATGTTTAAGTTTAACAGTTAAAAACACATCTTCAATAGGTTTATCGAAATCATCCTCCTCAGCAATTACCTATTAGGGAGCTCTCAATATCTTCTTGTCGAATCTCTTGAAGAAGTTTCTATATGAGATCAAACTCTCATTAATCTGAGTCCTCAACAAATTACTCATCAATGTAGCAGTGCTCTCAAAGAATAACATAGCATGTCTTTTATTTCTATTTGCTACATGCAATTCCTTCTAATAGAGATCAGCAACTTCCTTGTGCCACTCATTCTATAAGTGATTCTTCACTTCTTAAATTCTATCCTATTGAACCTTGGTAAAATAGTTAATGTTCATTGGTTAATCCTTAGCAGATGATAAAACCAAGAAATTCATTTTTGAATATTTAGCATACCAACTCTTCAACAATTAGAGAGTTGTCTAACTATTAATCACCAAGTTCTGCACCATGGCATCTCTAGCTTCATTGACCTTCTTCTTCCATTCCTCACTAGGTTCGATCCCTTTATAGACAGCAGATCCATATTCTGGGATCTCATCAATGATCTCTACTATTCCCACTCTCAACCTTTCCTCCTCATCCTTAAGCACATAATCCAAAATGGCCTTCTTCATACTCAAGTTGTAATCATGTGTTATCTCATTCATCATCTCCTCTACATACTTTTGACTCAATTGATCTCCCAACTTCTTGAGATCTCTTGGCAATAATTCTATAATATCTTGCACCCACTATTATTTGATCTCTGCTATGAATTCCTATGGTATTTCATTATTAATATAAGCCTAGTATCTTGCATAGCAATTATTCTTGGCTTCCAACTTCTCCTTCAACTCCTTAGTTCTTAGCTTACCTGTGACGTACAATAACTCTTCCTCCAGAGATGCAGGCTTCTATAGTAACTCAGGATTTGCAGTGAAATTCACTTTGGATTCGAAGGCCTTCAATATTCTGACTCCCTTGGACTCACTATCAAAGTAGAATCTTTTCGCTCCAGGATTGTAATTAGATGCTATTCTGCCAACTACACTACTGTTGTATTTCATTCCTGAAATTGGGGCTGCCAATGTTCTAGCAAACTTATCCAATATTGGTGGAAAACGAATCTTTGCATTCTATGGCTTGATAAATTATTGAGTCATCAAGGCAGAAGGATTTTCAACCAATTTCGAAAAGTCTTGGTTCTTAGCTAAAGGATCAGTACCAGCTCCTAACATCTCAGGCATTATTGGGATACTAATGTATTTATTGTTAGAATTAATTACTGTTCTAATTTTCCTATTCTTCTAGTTGGAGTTTGCATCATCTTTTATTGAGAGTTTTCACTAAATATTTCAAAGGCTGCCTTTTTGGATTGCATCAATTGACTCTACTCGATTGATTGTTACATAACTATCAATTAATTTAGGATTTCTTACTTTCCTATTGTTACTACTGGATTTAGTTCTTAATCATTTGGAAATTGGTGATCTGTCCTCTTGTTTGTAAGGCTATGGCATGCTTGGATTATTCAATCAAATTTCTAACAGTCTTTTTGGTTTGCGATCCTTATTTGATTTGTGATTGGACCTTAGATTTCAAAAGGGGTTCGAATGTAAATGTGGAATCAAATCTCAAAAATTTTCCGAAATATCCCAAATCAACTTCCACTTGTGTTTTTGTTTTAATTTTTTAAATCAATGATTAGAATACTCCCTCCACAATTGCTTAAATCAAGGACCTGTCCACTCCCATCTATTTGGTAGAGACAAGTGATTTGTCATTTACCTTTTGAGTCTGTTATACTTGAGTCTCAATGCCACCACATAATTTGGCAATCTGGTGATAACTGATTTTGATTGTTGGTGTTGGTGTCTCAATTTCTCCCTATTTAAATTAAATTTCAATATATACTCTATAGCGTAGATTTGCACTATTCAAAAAATTCTCGTTTGGGTAGAAAAGAACACTCTTCTCCTTATCTAACGCAATTTCTTCCCCCTGCACATGAGGTAATCTGAAAGCGAAGTTCCCTAGTGGACATAATAAACATCTCTTACCTAAATGAGGTATGTTGATCGTCCTCTCGACATCGAAGTTCATTTTGCTCCATTTTATGAATGCATTCCAAATTTCAGCCACCTTGTCCAAAGGCTCGCCATTCAACCTTTTGTAGTTTAAAGAAAATATTACTCCAATTCGGTCAAAAGACGCTCTATGTTGTAATGCTCGATTTGCAATTCTGTCATTAGAACAGTTTTGCTTTTTTTAATAAAATTAATTGGGAATTAGGGGAAATCAAATTCTTTATATATTAAACCATCATAGTTTTAAATATTATAATAGTAGCATTGGGCTTTGGATAATCCAAATCATATCTAATTTTACATGCATTATTAAATAATAAACTTTTGATTAATATTAATGAGTAAACCTGGATTAGGACTCAATACGTTTCATTTGGTTTTCATTGAAAAATCATATGGAGACACTGATGATCATCGAATGCATTCTAAATCCTCCATGAAAGACTAAGTCAGATTTGATGAAGAAATCATCATTTGCTTTTTTCATCAGAAAGAAAAGGTTACTTAAATTGTAGACGATAAAAAGAAAACCATAAAGGATTACCTAAAATGACTGTAATCTAAAAGTGATGACATTATATTATGCTTTATATTCTGTTTCTTACTTATTACACACCATCATTAACAAAACATATGTAAAAATTAAATACATTTTAAACTTTAAAAATAATCACAATTACAAAATCTTGGTCTTCTATTCCTCACTCATCTATAACCATTGCCAAGCCTTGATTCTAATGCTTTTCAATTCGTACTTTTTCGTGGCTCCCTCCAAGATCCATTTGTTGATATAATGGAACCCAGTATATTATTACTAGATAACAATCATCTCATTACCATATCATTCGTCACATACAGAGAGTTGTCCACTGAAATAATCATCCTTTTTGTTTCAATGTAAAAATCTACATATTGGGAGTCAAAATAATAATTCATTTTGTATTCTATTTTGTTCTTATCGAGGAATTTCATCAACGAACGGAATTGCTAAGTGGATTTCTGATTTGGAATGATATTCTGCTTTACTTGGCTCTTCCCATTCTCAATTATCAATCTGGCCTATTCTTGTTATAACTGATTCAATTCTTCAAATAAACACACATACACTTACAAATATTTAAATGTCCACTGAACTCTACAAGGTTGTAAATATCCATAAACTGTCGAAAAATGATGGGTAGCTTTTAGATCTTCTCCAAGTATACAAACTGAGACACACTATGTAACTTAGCTTAAATTCTTACTTCTACATTAGATGCACTATGATTCCCTCATATCTCGAGAACAAGTTCTGATTCAACTCCTTCATGAAATAATAGAAACTCGTTAATATACTCCAAAGGGTTTGAACACTAATAACCCCGTTGTTAAGTTGCTACAATTCCTATTGAGTATGCTCCAATATGTTGATAACTAATTCCTAATTGAAGTACCCCAGCTTGGCAAAGGCATTCATCACATCTAATAACTCGATTCTCGAATATTATTTAGAGTGGTTTATGATTAAGTTGCTGAGATTGTCATAGAATGGCTTTGTATAGATTTTCATTTCAGAGAACTTCTAAATAATTTAAACTATTTAAGTAGGTTTTAAATTGTTTTCCTACTCCTAGATTTAGTTTATTAGAAATTTGAATATATCCTTATTAGATAATTTTAATTTCTTTGCAAACTCTATGTAATCTAAACAGGCTTAAATATGTGGGATTTCTTAATTTTTAAGTTGCTTGCATTTTGAAAACATTTGCTAAAACAATTTTTCGTATCTTTAGATAAATTGATACTTATTCTCGCATTAATTGATTATCCTTATTACAGTTTTCAAGCCTGGTCTCATGCTCTTCATATTCAAGGACTCATTGAGGTTTTAAAAATGCAAATGGATAAAATCAGACAACTCATCATTTTCGAATTTCTAATGACCAATTCTCCAGGCATCATAATCCAGTAATGTCATCAATCCATCATAATAGTTTTCTTTGGTATTTTGCATAAAATTGAATTGTACCAACTCCATCTTTAATTAATTTATCATCTCCTCTAAGGAAGTAATCTAAACTGCACAATTCAACTTTTCCTTAAATTTTAATTAATAAAGTAATATTTTAGTTGTGATTTAAATAAAAATAAAGTTGTCCATTTTTAATTTTAAAATCTAACTTAAAAAGGAATTAACAACTTGCAAATTCGTAAATGAATCTGGATTCAAATCAGTTACAATAGACGCAATTTAAAGTTTTTCTAAATCCTCAAAATTATCCTTTTAATCACATAAATCTTGACATATGTTAAATATTAAATTAGTTTTGACATCTAAATTGGCGAAAGATTTATAAAATCGAAGAAATAAATACAAATCCACTTCCAAGTTACCCTAATGTTATGAAACTTAGTTAGACATAAAGTTTAATAATTCTCTAATGGGTTACATAACTGTACCTCTTGATGTGTGTAAAGCAAATAGTGGAGTGTATAGTACAATTTTAAAGATTAAGTTTAGCATTAAATGTATATTAAATGTTCCATCAATAATACTTTTATTTGCAATATCGACATGCCATTTAGATATTTATTTAACCAACTTATCATTTAAATAATCAATATTTGAAATATTATTTATTATACTTTATAATTAATCAAGTGAAGGTGCCATCATTTCACTTTTTGTTTTTAATTCATGATTAAAAAGATTCTAACTATTTAACCTTAAAAGAAAGTGAATATAATCTTTTTCAGGTAATTCGTCTAATTTTATTTCCTAATTAATAAACTCATAAAAAGGATCTCCAGGATATGGTTCCAAACTTAATATATAATGGCTTATGGACAATTTGCTCTTGCTTTCAAGTTGCTGCAATCTTTCCATCAATTATTATGTAGATTCTTGAATGTTGTCCTACTATTCCTGAGATGGTAAACTCTTAACATATCTATGACAATAATAGGCTTAATCGATCAATCTAGGGAGATGATCATTAGTAATTTTTATTTGATCCAAGTATTTTGAAACTTTATTTTACTTGATGATGACTTTGAGAAACTCTATTTTTTGTTTTGAATTTAAATTCTAGGCATTATTCAATCTAACTATAATAGAGTCAATGGTCGATGAATTTTATCGCCCAAATTCGACATCCAGAAATTTCAATAGGAGATTGTTTTCAGTAACTTCATCAAATTTGATGTTATTGAACATTTGTTGCATCTTGTCATCTTTAAGTCTATTGAAGGATTTCTGTTCTTTTAGATTGATGTAAAGTCTCAACCTATTTTGACTATTCAAGGTATCTATTTCGATTGATTTAAATAGGACTTCAAAAAGAGTGTTTGGAAAGTTATTGATTAAAAACTAATAGGATTCCATTAATTTCAATTTGGAATGCAAATTAATCTTTCCTAAATTTTAAACAAAGATTTCAGCCAATTTGTATAGCAATAAAGGGAATTATTTACTGGAAGTGCTCTAATGCAATTTCATTTTGGCTAATTGATTAAATACAGCTATTTATTAAGGTGTAGTCATGTCATCAACCTTATTCATTAAACTCTTACTAGCTTTAAATGCCAAATCTGAGTGAATAATTGACTTGAATTGAGTTGATTCAATGTAACATGCTCTGATGATTGAACAAAGTCCTACGATGTTAAAATCAGATGCTCTCAATTATTACTTTAGGATTTTGCCAATGTGGAACATCTTCCATCCTTGTTTTGAATAAAAATAAAATATATGTGGCAATTATTTGGAATTATAACTTTGTAAATTCTACTCTATGTGTTTCTTGATTTAGGCATTATATGATTTATTTTACAGTTTTTGCAACAACACAATTACAGTAATGCATTGTGATGGTTTCAATGTCTCAAAATTGGGCAGGACATTTTCTGTGATGAATTGATGAAGCAGTTCATTTTTGGTTTCTGGGTTCCTCTTAAGAAGGGAGCAGATTTGAAACACTGGGAAATGAATCTGTTGAGGTGTTAGATTGTTTTCTTGGTAAACTTTGATGACTTCGTCTATTGTCTAAGCATTGGCAAAATGTTAGAAGTCTGCTTCATTAACAAAGGCGACTGTGAATTCGTAATCAGCCTCGTCGTCGCTAATGAATTGATATTCTTTTTAAATGAAGGGTTATGAAAAGCAGGCTATACTTTTATTTAAAAACCTGGATGAGAGTTTGCTTAAGTGCAGAATTTTAAGCATAATTAAAAAATTTATAAAATTTGATAATTTCAACAGCGAAGTCTTTTACAGAATAACATTTTTCAATTGAATTTGAATGTTTGATATATTAAGTTTTATGCAAATTTGATTGATATAAAATATTATAAAATAATGAATAACTAATCTGTTAATGTGCAGTACAATGATCAGATAAAAATGAAGGTCTCAGAAGTGTTCCAAACCCATTACATTAATACCCAACCCTCGAAACAAGAATAGACTATTGTAATTTGCTTAATAATTTTTGGTAACATAATTTGGAACTGGATGGCAAACTTTTAAAATAGTGGGTCCAGCCATTATCATTACGAACTAACTGTTAAAATTATCGAGACCTTGTGGATTGTCTTTCATCATTTGAAGAAAAAGTAAACATTTCTAAAATTTTAGAACTACTTAAACTCCCGAATCTCTTCTGAATCTAGGTTTGGTAATTCAGCTCGTAAATGCCCTAATCACGACTTTAACCATAACTGAGTATTATCTATCTTATATTCTGTAGTGTAGAATCGAGATCGGAATAAGTACTAGACCAATTCACCTTCTTCATCCTCCTCCATCAATATATCTACAATCGATTCTCATTGAAATTGCATTACTTGCATTAAGTGATTGGAATCGGCAGCGTTTTGGCATTTCAAATCTGTTGGGGAGTCCATTTTATTAGTACAATCAAAATGATAACAGTATAATCGGTTTTTATTTTGTCAAAATAATTACGATAACAGAGACTGTGCAACGAGACACAAAACAAAATCAAGCAATTCAACTAGGAGCTGGATCAGATGAAGTAGCAGTAACAATAATAGATAAATAAATATCAAGAGGAAATTGATTCAAAATCACAGATGCAATTATAATCTAGGGCCAATGACTTAGTCAATAAATTAAAATTAATCAAATTTAAGTAACAATGCGCAATCAAAAATCAACTCTTAAAAAATGCTAGTTAATAATAAGAAAAATTGTAATCGATGGTTTCAATAACAGAAGTGTTTGGCAAAGACGAAGTTGACGAAGACACTAACCAAAATTATCAAACCACTTCTCCAAAAATAGAGAATTTTAGAAGAAGAGCTAGTAGAACCCTATCCTAAAATTCAGATATTAAAGGTAAAAATCTACTATTCGACCAACAGCAATCTCACTCTGATCAAACTATTATTCAAGGAGATGATTTTATTACTATTGATGAAATAGATGACCTTCTCAATTTATTGACAGGTAAAAAAGACAACATTTGGTTACCAAAGTTTTTAAGAAGTCATCGTTAATTGGATTGTCAAAATAGTAATTGCAGTATCCAATAAACCTCAAAGGAAGACTAATTTAGTTAAGATGCCAAAAAGTAAATTTTATGCTTACTATCTTAGATTCATACTTTCACATTTCACCTAAAGAGAAGCCTCCTTTTAATATATTGATGACATTTCAGATGACATAGATGATATTACCTAAAACACTCTAATTGATTTCAACATCAATTATTTACAACCAGATTACACTCTAAATAATCTAGATCAATCACAGAGAATGATGTTTTTAGAAGGATCCATAAATTTGTTTAAAATATTCAAAGTCATTCAAACATTGAAGATTACTAATCTAGAAACCCTTGGAGAATTCAGTGTCAAAATAGAATCTCTCTATTAAAACAATTTCTATCACAATTCTATGCATGCAATCGATGTCGCAAATTCAACTGCCTTTTTCCTATAAAATGGATTATCAACTTTAATCGACGATTTCCAAGCTACTTGCTTGTTAATTTCATCTTTGGCACATGATATTGGACATCCAGGCTTAAATAACGGATTTATGACTGCTAACAGATGTAGATTAGCCTTATTATTTAATGATCAAAGTGTTTTAGAGAATTATCATTCATTCCTATTGTTTTAGGTACTCACTTAAAGTAAATGCAACATCATTGAAAATTTGAGTTCTAATGAAATCAAAGGATTTAGGAAGTATTGCTTAAATCTCATTCTTGACACTGATCTCACCAGACACTTTTAATTGATGAACAAATTCTAAAATTATTTGAATGTTAATGAATCTCCTGCTATTGATTAACAATTAATCATGTCAATTGGAATTAAATGTGCAGGTAATTGGTAATCATACTATTTTAGATGTTGGACATGGAGCAAAGGAATTAAAATTGCACAAAACATGGAGTAGAAGAATTATTGAAGAATTCTTTTTATAAGGAGATTTAGAACATCACCTTAAAGTACCTATATCACCAATGTGTGATAGGAAATAGAATGTTTCTAAATCTCAAGAAGGCTTTTTAAAAGCCATAGTTTTACCAATGTTCGAGGCCTTCTCAACAATATTAAAGAAGTATTTTATTGCTTGATTAATAGTGAAAATATCTAAAAAACTTGTGTTGACTAAGTAAAATAAAATATAGAATATTGGTAAAAGCAGAAGACTGATGAAGAATTCATGGAAGAAACAACTTTTGATACCAATGCAGGACTTGAAATTCTTCAAAAGTTTCTTCATGAACCTCTTCATATTGAGATTTGATTTTATATGTAATAGATAATATATAATATTATGGCTATCCAAAAGAATATCCACCATATCTTTTGATCAAACTAATTGTTTATAATGACTCTACTTCATAGGATTGAATTATTTAACATGTTTGAGGCTATACTTATTTTAATTTACATTTTCTTATGGAGTTTTATAAATACAAGGTTTATTTGAATTTTAATGGCATATTTAATATTAATATCTTTAAAATATCATTAATCATTATTAAATCTTCATTTATGATGTTATTTGAGAAGATATTATTTTAATTGTACTAATATTCGCTTAACGAAATTTAATTAATCAAACTAATTATAATAAAAAGAACTCAACAAAAAATTAAAATTTGAAATAAAAGTCTGATTTTATATAAAATCAACTCGCCAATATAAATTTTAAAGAAATTAGTTAGTTACTATGCAAACAGAGAGGAGCTCTTTTGATTTAGAATATTTTAGATAGCCTAACAGATTAAGACTAAGGATTACGATATTCTTTGCTCTTATTTTTAATAAGCCATCATCTTTATTGAATATACAATAAGCTTATAATTTATGTCAGTTCCTTTATTGAAAGCTAAATGGAATTAGTATAAACTATCAATAATTATTAATACTTCCACTTCCAGATTGTTTGCCTAAAGGGAATGTGTGGAATAATTATATTAAAAGAGGATTTTCTTGGTGACAAAGGAATTTAGTTAGTTATTTATTGGTTTAGGATTGTATTTTTTAGATATCAAGGTTGAATTTACATTTCTGTTGTATCGCGTTACATTAGATACTTTATGATATTTATTGCTTGTAGATTTACCCATTGGAATGGCTATTAGTTTGAATGAAAGGAAAATTTCATAAAAATAAATTACAAATTGGTGATTGTAGCTAGCTTCATAGAGGTAGAGAATAACTGATTTACGTTGATGATAAGAATTTATGTTATTTAGAATTTCGAAATAAAAAATTTAAATTAATGAAAATAGACATAACAATTCTTCTGATTCTAATTTCGATAACTGTAAATAATGAATGTAAAAAGGTAGAATGAGTAACCGTAAGAGTACCCTACAGGTTGTTAGGAGAAGGAATGTAAAAAAATATGTGAAGAGGGTTACTAATTATGTGCTGACAAGAACAATATACAATGCGAATATGGCTATTTTAAATTAAATTTTAAGAACGAGAATTATTGTGTCAAATGGTAATGCATTTGATTTTTAATGAATTAGTCCATTATCATTTAAGGACTAAATGATGTACCTATGCATGGATTGTAGGGAAAATTCAGAGACTTGGTAATCTTCTAGATTATGCACTTACAATTATGCCATCACGGATGGAGATGTCAAAGGAGCATTTAGGAAGATGCAAACAAATGATATACAAATATATAATATATTTGAAGTGGCATCCTTGACTGAAGGAGGAAAGAGAAGTTTTGACACAGAATTATGTGTGGGATGCGAAGGATTTTGTGATGAAGGCGATGAAGGAGATGAAGGAGACGAGTGTAACATCCTTTCGGATTAAAATGATGCATCTCATATTGGAGTAGTTTGCGGGGATGGTTATTACTTTGAAAACGATCTATGCACTTAATGTCCTTTTGATAAATGCAAATCTTGCGATAGTTAGAGTTGTTATGAGTGCTTCGATGGGTTTGCACTCGATTTCAGTTCTTAATGCATTCCCTGTTTTTCAGGATGTGCAAAGTGTGAATATTTTTATGATATTATATGCTTGGAGTGTGTTTAAGATAAAGACAATTATTTGGTGTTGATGAATGATGGACTGACATGTGCTTAATGTGATTATGCATGTTAACGGTGTTAAGTCGAGTATGTGGATGGAGTAGAATAATAGAGATGTACACAATGTGAACCTGGCTATATTGTATACAATGAAGGGGCATGGTGTGAACATCTAGAGAAAAGTGACTGTGAAATAGGTTACTATTAATATTCCTAAGAAGGAGTGGATAAATACACATACACTTTAGGTTTTACAATGGCGGTGGATTATTCTTCAGAGCAAAAATGTTATAAATGCAAATCAGAGTATGAAGTAGACAGTGGATCTTGTGTTGCTTATACTGAAACCGATAATTGTATTTCCTATGATAAAGATAAAAGTTTATGTTTAGAATGCAAAGATAGCAATCTTCTTAAATATGATACAAGTACTGCTACTACAAAAAATTCTTGTTTGGCAGATTAAGATTGCAGTAAGAAAATTAAACATTGTTTAAAATGCATTTCATATACTGTCAATACTGTTGAATAATTTTAATGTGTAAGATGTCAAAAAGGATATTATCCTGATATTTTCTCTAATTTATGTATGCAATGCCAATCTAGATGTGATGAATGTTGGTAATATACTAACAGCTATAATATTACTGCCTATCTCTAATTGTAAATGGCTGCCATTGACTATGTGCAATATCAAAAAGATATAGAAATGATCAAAAAGGAAAAATTAAATGATCCTCTCTGTTCAACTTGCCAAGAGGGATTCAATCTTTACAATAACTAATGCAAAGGTTGTACTGATAGCTGTGTCCCTGGCGACTTTGCAGAGAAAGACTCTGAATGTTTGTATTTAGATGATACTGCCTATTGTGCAAAGTGTCCTATTCCTAATTAATAATAATCACTGTCTGCTGACAATAGTGAATGCAACGAGTGTCCCAATTACTGTATTGCTTGCAGGGAAAGAACTTCGGATGAAATAAATAATGTTAATCCCTTTTTTAATCCAGATTTTGATTAATTAAACAAATACAGTAATTATTGTTACAAGGCTGCAAACCCAAAGCCTAATCAAAAGATTTATATAGACTCCTTTTTGGGAGTTCCCATTACTTGCAAATCTGATGCAAGCTCAAAAGGATGTGAAAAAAAACTAGACACTGATGTGTTTATAAATTGTGGAGAGACTGCAGGGCCTAATGAAATCAAGTTGAGAGATGTATATAAAAAACAGAAAACCAAAATAGTTACATTATTCCTTCAGGGAATAGAAAATGCATAAAAATATAATGAATACAATTAGTTAACTGTCACAGAGATAAATATCAAAATCTATTTCAAGCCTGACAATAATGGAATTTGTGTTTTTGATAAACCTTTATAAATCAAATCAGGTTTCTAAAGGAATGTCTTTACTTTGTAGAAATTATCTATTGTCATAAATGGTTAAGATACAATCTTTAAGCAAACAGGAAGAATGATACTATAGGATTATTCTTCAGTGGTGATTTAAGATGTCCGCTTCAAAGAAAAGTCATCGGGGGAATTTGGCTTAGAAATACTGGGTTAAAAGACTATGCTCACTATGACCAACTGTAAAATAGTTAAAGAAAACGTAGCCAGTGCATTCAACATAGTATTATAAAATACTGTATATCTCAAATTAGAAAAAGTTGAATTTGAAAAACTCAAAAATGAAAACTTCCTAAATCAAACCTCAACTAATACAATCACAGATCAAGGTTATTATATATTTGATGATGTTCATGTAAAAAATAGTGAAATAAATGATGTTCTCATTACTGTTAATTAAATAGGAATAAATAATGTTTTGCAAATTAATTCCTTAAAGTTCACAAATGTTAATATTACTAATACAGCTGTCTTTTCAGATTTATAAACAACTTCAAGTTACAGTGTTATTGTAGATAATCTTAAACTGATTAAATGTACAGTTACAAATGGAAGCATCTTCAATTTTGGTACAGTCAAATCTTTTCAAGCCTAAAATTTAGAGAGTGTGTTGACTTTATTCTAACTAAATTCTAATTTCGTAGCGAGTACTGCTTTTGCAATCGAAAAAATGTTTTGTTATCGATCTTTATTTGCTAATAGTTCTGAACTTATTGTGTCTAATAACCAAATTTATCTCTCAGATTAGAAACCTAGTATTTTATAGTTTACTTTCAAAAAAATTACATTCAGAAACAACATTTGTTAAAATATTAATTGCTTGATGATCATCTCCACTCCACTCAACAGCTTTGGAATCAATACCAACATTTAGATTGAAGACTTAATCGTAGAGAATTTACAAATCTAAACCATAAGCTAGATAGATATTGATTCTGTTTCATCAGCCTTGGTCTCCTTACAAAACATTGGAAATGTCACTATGAATGAAATAACACTCAAGAATACTCAAGGAATATCGAGCTTTTTTATTGGCCAATCTTAATCCATTCAAATTACTAATGCCTACTATTTCCTGGAAATGGACAATACTATGATTTATGAGTATGATGAATACATAACTGAAGATTTTGAAGTAGATCCCAATCTAAGCAATAATATAGCTGTCACAAATCCCTTCAATAACCTATTACCTAACTCTCTTGATTGTGCTGCCAGGAAACAAACCGCATATTAATTTAACTCATACATGATTTATGTTGAAGGATTTCAAGGATCCATCTTAATGTAAGACATTGAAGTTTACAACAATATTTTCATAGATAGATCTGCTATTGTGATTAAATCCTACCAAAACCTTCAATTTATGTAGTCGGAAACAATTCTGCTTTAGAACATGTTTTTCGATAATAATAGACTTGCTTCAACATTAAATGGAAAGGAGATGAGTTTAATAACAATTGATTCCTAACAAAATTAAAACATAACCATAATCAATGCCCAATATAATCAGAATCATTTGCACCAAATAACTGATTCCTAGACCAGTCAAACCCCAGCCCTGCTATTAATTATCTCTCCGAATTCCTTACTTAATCTAATTAACTCTTACTTCAATTACAATCGAATCTCAAAATCCACAAATGGCTTGATGTGGCTTAAGGTAGATTCGTTTATTCTAAGCAACTGTCAATTCTAAAAAACCAATATTCTAGATCTTCAATGGCTAGAGTATCTGGAAGAATAGCAATTAACAACAAGTGATCCCGATACAACAGCTTCAAATCTAAGTATTATACTGTTTATAATTTATAGAACAATTCTTCAAGATTTTTTCAAAGGGATCAAACTTTTATTTAATTGGTAAATTCATATACATCGACAATTTGTCAATTAAAGAGTCCTTTGGATTGTCTGGAATATTTCTTGAACTATTAGATGGTGTTGTCACATTGAAACAATCATAATTTTTGAATGTCCAAAGCAGTTTATAGTTAGTGGATAATACAGAAGGAGGGTGTATGACAATAAACTCAGATAGTTCTCAGATGCAATTGGAATTATATTCAGTAACGATGTCAAATTGCACTGCCAGAGTCAGAGGAGGATGCATCCATTTATACCCTACAAAATTCAAATAGAGCATTCTATTTCAAGACTCACAATTCTACTTCTGTTAATCTTTGGGATATTCCTTTTTAAGTAATCCATTCTTAGAATCAACCGATTAGCCATTAATTGAATTTTAGAACATTGTTGTCGGGGATAATAATTATAACAATTTTATCCAAAATGTACCAGACATCTCCTTACTAGATTAATTGCAATTAACTGAGAATTCTGGAATCTATTATTAACATACAGGACAATTGATAATTCGAAATTCCATCTTTACCAATTTTAAATATGTAAGTGTCATTAAAGCAGTGGCTATGACTGACGTATTCATATCTCAAAGTAAATTTACCAAAAATACACTTTTCTTAATGCCCCTCCTAGATATATCAATGACACCAACTACTGCAAATCAAATCCAAATTGTATCATCTCAATTTGTCGATAATGAATCTACAGATATCAAATCAATAGTAAATAAATGTGACGGGTTCATCAAGAAAGGGTTGAGTTAGTCATTACCACAATAGACTTGTGATTAAATTATGTACTTAATAGACTTTCAGAATTACTTAAACTCAGACTAACCTCTTTGGAATAGCGAGACTTATCTGGAGACTTATAATTATTTCAATGAAATTGATAAGTATGGTTCTGTTTATTCGACTAATTATTATTTTGATGATGCTCTTCAAATTGTGCAAAGATTCAATTAAACTATGAACAATTCATTGATAAATTGTGTCCTTTAGAATATGCTAAAGTATTAAATTATGATATCTATTTAGTTTGACTCTGGAAGTTGGACAAACCTTAACAACTTCTATTATTAACATCAAAAGCTTATACAGCAATTCCTACTTAACTTTTGAAAAACTGACTATTGCATCCAACAAGTGTTAGAGATGCCATGGAGGTTTAGTACAAATATTGGGAGTGAATGTTGACAATTAAAAGGACACTCATTTAACCCTAACGAATATCAATTGTAAAGACAATATAATTGGCTATTATGGATGCCTATTAATTTAGCAATCACAAGATATAAGTGACTTTGTCCCAAATTAAAATTTATTGGATATGAAAGATGCTTAATTTTCCAACAGATTGCTGTAATTAAGTGAGCACAATTCAGTATCAATCTAAAAGTCAATGTTTTTGTCGAATAAAGCTAGTGTTGGTGCTGGTATTAGTATATTAGGTTTGGATGCTTTATTAAAAGATAGTGTATTTTCTGATAATTTCGCAAGCCTTGCTGGAGCAGGTGTTTACTATAAGAATTTAGGCGGGGATTAGGATACTTCCTTGTATGTCTACAATCTGTCATTTTAAAACAATAAAGCCTAAGTGGGAGCAGCATTTTACTTAATCAATAAGGAATTAGCAGATGTAGATTCATTATTAATAAAATTTGAATACAATAATGCAACATTGCAAGCGAGTAATATTCAGGAGAATTCAAGAAGATAGACTATTTCAATGAATGATGGTTCCTATTGTAAAGTTGAGACTTATCAGAATCTAAGTGGAGATTAGAACTTTGATGGCAACATTGACAGCGTGAATGAAAGAATAAGAGAAAACATAACTCTGGATTACCATACGATTGGTAACTATCCAGAGAAGACTAATTTACTTATTTTACCTTCAGGATAATCCATTAACACATACGAATACTTTTTAGAAGAAACCTAAGAATACATTCCATTTGAGTGGATATTTAGAGTTATCAATTTGAATAGATTTAATGAACCCATAGTAAATGATTAAGACGGAGACAAGTGCTACATCTTTGGTAGGATATAAAAATTCTAAAATTATTCTGATAGCTTTTCCTTTACAAATAATTTCACAATTCCTAATGAGATGCTATTTAACAAGAATTCAAGAGGTTATGTTTTAGATGATATGCAATTAACATTCGATCCTTATTTTGATACGAATTATTATCTAGAATTGAAAAGTAATATAATTAAATAACTTAGTCAAATGTGATAAAATGGCAATTCCAGTATATGCTAGTCCTCCAGATTCTAGAATTGTAGGGTACAATATGGGCTACGAATTGATGTTAAATGTTAGAACATTTCCTTGTTAAAAGGGAGAAGTCTATTAGCTTGGTCGTTGTATACCATGCAGTCCAAAATTAAATTAATATTCTGTCATTATTGGAGCTGTTTTATGCGCTTAATTCAATTCTGATTATATGGTAGCTATTAAAAAGTCATCGATTCAGTTGAAACCTGGTTATTGGAGACCAGATTACAATAATGATGAGTCTTAGTATTGTGAAAATCTGGATGTTAATTGCAATGGTGGTTGGGTCCCTGGAAATCCTTCTTGTTACACTGGTCATATAGGAGCATTGTGTGAATCATGTGATCTCTATCAGATATTTAATGATGAAAGATATACTCAGACTCAAGCATATAAATGTGCCAGATGTGCACCAACTATGTAACTAAACTATATAGTTTTGGTGGCTACATCCATCACATCCTTTATTTCAATGGTTTTAGCAGTAAAAGGTAGTTACTTTTCATCAATGTAATTTATCATCGAAGACACTCTGGATAAATGGGGAGTATTGTTAAAGAGCTCTGAGAGTGATTTGGCTGTATTGATGAAAGTTCTTACTAATTACTTTTAGATTATCTAGTTCATTGGCTCTTTTCAGATATCCATTCCTAGTTCTGTCAAATAAACAGCCAAAACTGGAGGTAATCCTACTGAAAGTACTACAACAGCTATGGATTGTCTTTATGTAACAATGTCAGATTTGGATGTATTATACTTTAGAATGGTCTGGGCATTCATCTAACCAGCAATATATTTGGTCGGTTTCTATATTATTTATTTTGCTGGAATTGCAATCAAAATGGTCCCATACAAAATTAATATTATTACAACAGCCTTAATTTATTAATTCCTCTATTTGTAGCCATCTTACGTTGAAGGTTTTATTGTTCTGGCCTCGTCTAGAACCGTAAGTGGTTATCCATATGTACAGAGAGATGTTGCATATAGATATGATAGCGACATGCATTAATATTACCTCCTAAGATTTATTATGCCTATGCTCATTGTTTGGGTCCTAATTCTACCTTTACTATTTATGTTTTTAGTGTACAAGAATCGAGACACGATCAACACCAAGTAAACCAAATTAATTTATGGGTTCTTCTATCTAGAATATTAGTTGAATAGTTATCTATGGGAATTTGTTAAACTATTCTAAAAAGAATTCATGGTCATCATTTTAGCATATTTTGAAGATTAAGTTACTGTTAAAGGTCTCTTACTTGTAGTTGTAATGTTTCTCTATGGGTTCTATTAAATTCAAGTTTCTCCTTACAGTAATAGGAGACTCAATATTTTAGACAGATATTCAACTGTTATTTTATCAATTTCATTAGCTATGGGAGTTCTATTAAAATCATGCTAAGATTAAGAATTTGGGTATTTATTTATTATTGTGGCCGTAATCTTAATCTTAATTAATGTTCCCTTCCTTTTGTCCATTATATTTTGTATTTTTGAAGGGTACATAATCAAATTGTCCCCCGTTTTAGATAAAATAAGAGATATTCTTAATGAAAAATACCCAGATTTAGGTCAGTAGCATTCATGGCTAAGACCTTATTTGTATAATAAAGCCAAGATGGCTATCAAAGTCAAGGTTTATTGGGCTATCCTAAGAGATGCTGTCAAAGATACCAATTAAATTTGCAAATAGCATGATGTTCAATTTAAAAAGATTTTCCCCCCTTATGCAAAATCTAATGAAGATGGCATTGATAAGATTGATTACATATCATTTAGAGGAAAAGACAAACTGAACGAGGACAAATAACCTTTAATTTAAGATTCCTTTAGTCCTATCAATAACGAAAATCAACAAATCTAACAGCCAAGTGCTATAAGAGTCGAAAATATGCATGCAAATGGTGTAGTGTAAATAGGTTAATTTTTCACCTCATCATTCATCTCCAACTAAGCTCAAGAACCTGTGGGTATTACTGGCTAAGGAATTGAATAATGGCCTGATTAAACCTAGTATTAAGGATTAATTGTTAATGGTAAAAAGTAAGGATAAGGATTTTTGACTTGGCCATAAAAAGAAAATTAAAAGCAGCAAGAATTTTACAAAGGTGAATTCGATAATAATCTTTTTGATGGTTATGGAATTTATCAATGGAGTGATGGAAAAATGTATGAAGGAAGATGGAAACAAGGCAAGAGACATGGATATGGAAAATATTAAGGAATAAACCAATAGTATGAAGGAAATTTCGAAAATGACTTGTATTAAGGATAGGGAACATTAACCATTGGGGATAAGATAATCTCAGGAATGTTTACTAATGGTAAAATGAATGGAGAAATGGAAGTCATGATTGGAAGAAAGAAAAGAAAAGGAATTTGGAAGGATGGAACATTTTAGAAGTGGATTAATTGATAGTATATAATTTTAAATAAAAAATAATTCTATTTATAGGAATAATATATATCAATATTAATCTATTAATTAAAATAGAATGATATTTATATAGATTTCACTTAATCATAAACCTTAATCGATCTTTCTTAACCTGGCTTCCAAATCATCAATAGCTTATATATTGGACTAATCACTATTATTTTTCTTTTGTTCAACAGGCTATTAAGGTTAAATTCCTGGTGTTGCCTAAGGAAATTATTGTTATTAAGGAGGTTAAAATGTCTAAGGAACCTTCATGCTTTAACTTGCTAATATTTGTGGGCCTTAACATATTAAACAATAAAGATACCTTAATTGAGACAGGCATAAGGATTTGGGGATCCACCGAATCCTCCATTAGATGGGTTACCATATTAATTAGTTGGTTAATTATATAATCCTGCTTATGGACCTAAATTTCCAAAACCATTTTAAGTAGTTTAATTACCACCCTATGTTGTTCCAAATCCACCTTAATTTTAACCACCAAAGTTTCCTTGTGTTCCAAAGCCTTATGGTTGGTTACCAAAACCTTAAGGTTGGCTACCAAACCCACCTTAAGGCGCGGTTCCAAAGCCTTAATATGGTTGATTACCAAAACCGCCTTGTGGAGGATTACCAAAGCCTCCTTAAGTTTAATTGCCAAAACCTCCTTAAGGAGGGTTACCAAATCCTCCTTAGGGTTGATTTCCAAATCCTCCTTAGGTTTGATTTCCGAATCCTCCTTAAGGTTGATTGCCAAAGCCTCCTTAAGGTTGGTTGCCAAATCCTCCTTAAGGATGGTTGCCAAAACCTCCGCCCATTCCGAAATCACCATATCCTGGCTGTGAGAATGGTTCTGGATGAGATCCAAAAGGTACTCCAAAACCTTAGTTTGGAGGTGGCATAAATTATTATTGTCCAAAAGGTTATTATTCAATTTAAATACCTCCTTGAGCTGGTCTTTAAAATTTGGAGCTAAATTAATGCCCTGATGCATTTAGTTGTTCTTCACTGAATCCATACTTTTCTGCAAACTTGATTGCAAACTCATTAACTTCATATGCATCAGGCAGAGGAGTTCTATAGAGTTATTTGATATTTTGATCGACATTTAATAATTTACTGGTATCATTGAAGCCAGGTCCAAAATAGAATATCATCAGATCTTTAAATTCCATTACTTACTCTAAGTTCAAATTATCAGCAGCAAAGACGATAGTTTCTATGTAAGGCATGATGTCTGCTATTTTAGAAGCATCTCCTCCGCATTTAAAGATTCGTATTGATTAATCCTTTACTATTTCACAGTATCTAAAATAATTTGAGATTAGTATACCTTACGACAGTGTTACATGTCTCCAAAAATCTAACATCCAGAACCAATTATTGGAACTTCTGATACTCTTCTGCCATGATTCTAGTAGGACTACGCAACATCTCATTTAAAGCCTTTTCTTTCATTAGTGCTTAATTGGTTCGTCTATCTCGATTCAATTCCACATAGCCTTTAACCTGAAATTAATGGAAAGACATACTTTTAGGCAGGCAATCTCAATTTAGAATTGAGTTATCTATTTAGTTTAAGGTGCTTTTTATTATTGAGTTCCCATTAATATAGATTTCTTTTAATTTGTTTAAAATATAAAATATTATCATTTAATAATTCAATTATTTAATTAAAACAGTATATTTGCCATAATATTAAAATGTATAATAATATATAACAGTTAGGAAGTTCCTCACTGACAAAGAAAAGTAATTATAGCTTTGATTTTAGTGGTAAATAGAAGAATAAAAAGGTTTTGAATCAAAAATAAGAGTCTGAAAAAAATCGAGAGGAAATTACATATCATGTATATATATTTGCCACTGAAATATAGAACCTCTATTTTCCTTACAATAAGGTCCATTGTGATAATTGCGAGAAGGATATTACGAGATAAGCAAGAATACTTTGTATAGGGTGTCCTAATTCAATTGATGTATGTATGAATTGCTTTTTAAATTTACATGAATTTGGTACAAATAATTAAATAAATTCAAAGCATAACATACTATTGGGCACTCCTATTCTATCATCAATAAATTAAATTTCCCAATATTTGTAGATGATTGGACTGCAGAAGAAGAGCTATTATTATTAGAAGGACTAGAAAAGAAAGGATTTGGCAATTGGCAAGATATAGCTGAGATGTTGGGCAATGAAAAATCATAAGAAGAAATAGCATAACATTATGATGATATTATTTTAAGTGAAAAATTCAGAAATGTGTGTTTTATATAACCAAATATTATTAGATGACTCTCTTATCAAAAAGGAATTAAGATACATTAGAGCTAATCAAACCAAAAAGATACTCGCATGCACCTAAGAGGATGAAAGAAGAATAAAGTATTATGAAGGGAGGGAGATTGACACCGAATATGGCATCGCAAAGTGGATAGGAAATTGTTGGATTTATGCCAAAAAGAGGGGATTTTGATATTGAATTTGATAATGATGCAGAACTACTTTTGGCAGAGATGGAATTCAACGATGATGATTAGCCTTACGAAATTGAAATGAAGCTCAAAGTTCTTGATATTTACAATATTAGATTGGATGAACGTTTAAAAAGGAAAAATTTTGTAATTGATAGGGATTTGCTAAATTTAAAAAAATAGAATAATTATGACAAACAAAGAAGCAAGGAGGAGAAAGAATTACATAACTTAATGAAACCATTTTCAAGATTTAATAAGCATGAGGATCATGAAAGATTTGTGTAAAATTTGATTAAGGAAAAATAATTGAGAGCAAAAATAGAGGAGCTTAGATTTTATAGAAAATTAGGGATAAAGACATTTGAGGAAGTGGAGGAGTACTTATCAAACAAGAGAAAGAAGGATGAGCAGTATCAAAAGAGGCAAAAATAAAATGAAGCTTTTGTTTATGATTCTCAAAAGTAAAGATTTTTACAACGGAGGACGAGATTCGTGCCTGTGATGGATGGGAAGGATAAAAACAAATAAGGACCTTCGTTTTGCGAAGAAGAATAATAATTATGTTAGAAATTAGGATTGAGTGAATAGGAGTATCTGATACTCAAGGAGGTGCTCATAAGAGAATCAGTGAAAAATGGGATGATTAAGAAGGATATAGCCCTTTAAAAACTTTAAGCTGGACAAAGAGCGTATAACAGGTGTTTTTGATTATTTGATTGTTAAGGGATTAATTCATGATTAGGAATGAATATATATTATTAATTTATATTACAAGTATTTTGAGTAAAGAATTTAATCAGATTTTATATATAGATAAATAAAAAAATGAGCATTTATTAAAAAATTAGATCTGCCTCAAACGAATTCCTGAGAGATCTAAAACTTAATGATAATCAATAATCCTTTATTATCGGGATGATTTGTGGATATTTTTTGTAGCATAATTCAGAATGTTCAATGACAGCATTAAAGGACTAAATTAAAGCTGTCCAAGAAATGATAACAAATGGCTTAGTTAAAGGAAAGTATTTTGATGATTTGGCCTCATCTCTAATAAGTAATCTTGAAAAACCCAGAAACTTCGATTTCTAATAAGGTGGAAATGGTACACCAATATTGAATGAGGATTATGATCAAAAATAAAATTTGTAATTCGAAGATCCAAATGAAGAAGCCACGATGGCATTAATAAAGAAATTGCAGGAAGAAGATTAGAAGTTCGCTTAGAAAAAATAAATAGAGGTTGAATAGGTGGATTGTCCTATTTGTTTCTCAAACTTAATGGAGGAAGATGTGATGCCATTGGAGTCTTGTGTCCATATTTTCCACGTAAATTGTCTCAAAGAGTTGTTATTACAGTGTATAAATGAGAAGAGGAAATAATTGACATGTCCTGAATAGAAGTGTGGGAAGGACATTGCATTAAATGATATTTCGCATATTGTGGGAAAAGAGAAGAAGGATGAATTTCTGAACTACACTCTCAATAAGTTTGTGGATGATCATGCAGCAGACATGTCTTGGTGTCCGACTCCTGATTGTCAATATGCCTTTGTATTAGGAGATGATGATGACAATAATGAGTTCAAATGTCCATTATGTAAGAAACAATATTGCTTGAATTGCAGAGTCATTTTTCATAAGGGATAAACTTGCAAAGAGTATCAGATTACAAATACGAGGGATTAAAATGATGTGAAATTCGAAAAGTTTGTTAAAGGTCATAAATTCAAGATGTGCACAAAATGCAAGTTCTGGGTTGAAAAGAATCAAGGATGCAATCATATGACGTGCAGATGTGGATATGAATTTTGCTATGTTTGCGGAGGAAAATATTTACAATGCGAATGTGTTGAAAAATAAAAATAATAACAATAGGAATTCTTAAGATAATAGCAGCTGCGTATCTAGTAACAGAGGGAATTGAAGAAACAACAAAAAAAATCAGGAAAAGGCAGAAGATGATTAAATCAATATACAATTATAAAAACAATTTAATCATTAATATATAACTTTAAATCTCATTGACAAATAATTAAATTAAATTCATGAATAGTCTGAACAGTGTTCATATAGACAATATCAACACTACAGGATAGCAGGACACTTCTATGTGTAAAAACCCTCAGGTAAATCAAGATTGCGATTCTTCTTCCATTATTCTGCTCAAAAAGATTGAAGCTCCAAGTCCAGATATCCCAGGTTTAGGGTAATCAGTTTTTAAGCCTTTTCAAAAATTAATCATTTACTATCACATTGGATTTTTCGTTAAAAAACTTCTAAAATATATCAAACCTGATTAATAATTCAAACCTAAGCACTACACGTTAATTGATGATAAAAGTGCAGGCAACATCAAAGATTTTATAAACTATGCTGGAAAATCAAAAGCTTAAGTAATGCAATATCCGAGTCTAGAGGAAGTAAACTTTTTTGTCAGAATGAGGTACAGATATAAATAATGCATAACTAATTTCAAACAGAAAATCTTTTACTTGTTCGAATAAATCCCTTTGATAGACCCTTCATTTAAAATCAAAATCATATGGGATCTTCTATTGAATTGTTTCAGGATATACTTAATTTATATCATACCAATAATAATCACTTTTGAACAATTAATCGAAAATTATGATCTAATAATAATAATATCTCAAACAGTCTTTGCGATTGATTTCCTATTAAGAAACATTACAATCTACTACGATTAAGGCTTACCCGTAATCGATAGATATCAAATAGTCAAAAACCAATACCATATCACTAACCTCATAGAACTGCTTGAAATATTGTCCCTATTAGGAATGGCTTACTTTAAATTTGATTTCAATAGTCAATTTATTCTATTTGATGGTTGGCCCAAATTTTGGATGCTGCTCTACTTTATACAATTAAAGAATCTATTAAATTTCATAGGGTCATGGCAATAATAATTCATAATGGGATAGTTGGCATCCTCTTTAATAGAACTCTCCAAATTGATAGGCTTATTACTAATAATCCAGCACATATTCAGTTGTATTTGGCTCATGATTGGAAGATACAACCAAATATCGGGCATTACAAATTGGATATCTGCATTTAATTTAGATAACGTGCCTTGGAGTGAATTATATATCGAATCTATGTATTTCACTAGTGTCACCATGTACACAGTTGGTTATGGAGACATACATCCAATAAGTAATATTTTAAATTATAATACAAGATATATCCGAGAAAATTTTCGCATTTTTATTTGTATTCGTTTGCACATTTCAATTATCATTCAGCTTAAATACGATTGGAGAGATTTTGACAAGAATGAAAAATAATAATGACATCATAAATAAGAAACTGATTTTCATCAATCAATATATGCATACGAAGAAAATCAGTCACTAATTGTAATTTTAAGTCAGAGAATATCTTAATTACTATTGGTATTAAGAATAGACCCAATAGACCAAAGAATAAACTGATATACTCAGTTAACTATCTGATGATTTAAGAATGCAAATAGCAGTTGAATCTAATAGTGTAGTTCTTAGAAATTGTGAATTCTTTTACAAAAACTTTTCGAATGAGTTTTTGAATGATTTATTAAAGAACCTCCAATTTTAATCATTTTAACCATCCTCAACCATAAATATATTTAATGAAGTTGACTATTACATTTATATCATCGAATCTGGACAAGTTGATGTCTATGCTAAAAACTAAGACAGGAGGGTTTTAATTGGAAATTTTACAGCAGGTGAATATTTTGGATTAAATGAATTCCTCACTAATTAGAAAACATTCTAATATGAATACAAAAGTTCAGGATTTGTAAGTACTCTTGTGATTCCAAAATCTAAATTTTATCAATTAATATAAAAATATTAGGTTGATTTTGAGACGTATTGGAATTTAAAAACAAATTGTCAAGTAGATATAAAATGTGCGATTTGCGATTCTCGAAGACATCCCCCAGAGTAATGCAAATAAGTTCATTTTATACCAGACAGAGAGAAGGTCATCAAATAATTTAATTATTATCAATCCCAAGATAGAATTACATTCTCAAGAAATTCTAGAAGAATTAGATAATTATATCATGCTTAAACGGATTAGGAAATCTTAAGAGAGGCAGCTTAAATGGTGAAAGTTAAGAATGATAGTCAATTCTTTTAAAAATATTAATATATTTAGGATGATACCACGCGATTTGAAAGTCAAGGTAACACATATTTCCAATAATAGACATACTCACTAAGAAAGACATCGAATCGGTTGGTGTGCTCATAAAGGATCTTGAAAGTAAGTCATATTTCGATTTCTGTCAAAAATCTCAACTAAAGTCAGAAAAAGAAATTGGTGATGGGAAATTGAATTTGTCTTCGGAATTCTTAACTTTGAAAGCTCTTAAAGAGAAATTGAATCATAAAGATCTTTATACAGAGAGGGAATTATAATAGATTGAGTATTTAATTTAATTGCTGGAATTAAAATTAAATCTAGAAGATAAAATAGAATTAGATAAGAAACATGAATATCAAACTTTTAATCAAAAATCAAATATCAACTTTGTTTTAAAGAAACTGATACACCCTGTTCGGTATATCATGGCTTCTACGTCTAAGAGTTTAGATCAATATACTTTAATAAGTGGGAATAATTGGTTGAAATATTTATTTTACCCTTATGATTTTATAAATTAGTATCGATTCAATATAACTCGATTGGGAATGCCTAGAAAATCTTTAGTAGTTCGATAGCAAGAGCATCGATTATCTAATGCATTATTACGAAAAAAACAACAAAATCGTTCCATTAAAAGATAAATTTAGGTATTTCCTATAAAATGAATAAAAATAGTACAAAAAAAAGAATTATTATGTTATTTTGTTACTATTAAATAAATCTAATTATAGAAGTCATATTCTTTCAATAGAAAATGCAAATATCATTATTTAATTAAATTTAAATTAATTTATTTAATAACTTATAACATATGAAACAACAAGTCTCTTTTTTGGCTAAAAATACTTTTTCCAGGAATATAAATTCAGATGAGGTAAATGAAATCCAGGATCGATCAGGTTATGACATTTTCAATATGGATGGTTAGAATAGAAAAAAAGAAAAGCTATCGCCGATAATTCAATCCAATTCTGGTCATCATGAATCCTTGATTCTACAATATGCTAATCCTCAATAACTCATCACTCCTAAAAATGAGAATTTTACTCAAAGACTTTAACCAATCGCTTAGACTGATTTAAACAAGCAAACAAAATCATTTCGTAAATTGATTGTCTATTTCCATCAAAAAGACTTTATTAAAAGACTATTGGCTCCACAAAAATTAACATCATCTTTTACACTTAAACATTTCAATTTGATAAATGATTTAGGAGCATCCTTTAAATATTAAGTTGGTAGATATAATGAAAACTAAAAAAGCTTGATTCATTAATATATATCACTTATTGATATAAGGATTTAATTAAGATTAAAATTTAGAACCATAAAAACTTAATGCAAGCATTATTTCTAATACATCCATAATCAAATTCCATTAATTGAACCGATGAGTAATCTAAAATTTTTTTGGGATTTGATATGTTTTGGCATTAGAATATATTTAATTGTCATAATTCCAATACTAATGGCATTCCACCATTAAAACTTCATTGACTAACAATATGTTCCATTAATTTTCGTTTCGATTGCTTTAATTTTTGATATCATTATAAGGGCATTTACCGTAACTTATGACTAAGGATTACCTGTAAGAGATCGATATTTATTATATAAAAAATAACTGAATTTCTCAACATTATTGGAATTATTTAGTTTTATTTATACTATAATAATAAGTTTACAGTCCGATAACATTATAGAGAAAAAAATAATAGGGGATGGTTGGCCAAAATTTATATTAGTTTTATAGTACATACAAGTCGCCAACATATTAAAGTTTATAGACATATCTTAATACTCCTTCAAGCTCAGCCGAATGTCCACTTCAATAGTAGAGTTGATCAAATTAATAACATTAATACTGTTGGTTTAGCATATTTTCAGTTGTGTGTGGATTGTGTTTGGTATTTAAGGTTAAAATACATAATAACAATCGTGGCTAGACAAATTTGAATATGACTAATGGTCATATTAGTTTCTATAATCCTTCTATTTTATATGTGTCACTACATTTACTGTTGGTTATGGGGATTTGACACCAAAAAGTAATAACAATCTAATAGCTTAGATCCTCCTGAGTAAATTTTTACCATTATTTATATGTTTTTATGTATGTTGTTGTTTTCATACACAGTAAACACTATAGGAAGTATACTCACACAAATTAAAGAAAGCAGTGACAAAATCAAAACAAAACTTACAGCCATTAATTAGTATATGCACAATAAGTAGATTAGTCCTACATTATAATTTAAGTATTAATCTAATGTATGTAATAGAGTTCGAGAATAGTTGTACTTCTATCTTAAATAAGAAGTGGTTCAATAGGTGAACGAATAATCAGAAATAATATCTATGTTGCCCGAAGAATTATAACACAGCCTTAGAACAGAAGCAGCAAAATCCTTAATTTATAAATGTTCCTTCTTTAATGAGAACTTTTCAAATGAAATTTTGAATTAACTAATGGAAGATGTCAACTTTTAAATCTTTCAGCCGGGAGCCACAATTCAATCAAAAGATGAATTCTTCATCCACATAATTGAATAGGGACAGGTTGAAGTTTTGTATAAGAAAGTATTATTATTTGATTATCAATTAGAAATCTATATAAACTCTGGAAAAGTTTGATTATTTTGGACTTGAAGAATTTGTCACTTAACAATACAATTCAAACTTTGTTTTCAAAAGTAATGCTTTCACTAGTGTACTATCTATTCCTTACTCTCATTTTCATAAGATTCTATCTTAGAATGATCTTGAAAACTAAAAGTTTCAGAATCTATTAACTTCTTAACCAAGTATCTAAAACTATTGTTTCATCTGTAAAACCAAGAGACATACAACCTAATTCTGCTCATAGGTTCATTTTATTCCAAATAGAGAAGTTGTTTTGAAAAGGTATCTCTATAGAAAAAAATAGAAAAAACGAGTCAAGTAGGATAGAAGAATTAGGTAATTGCAATTGAATGAGGTGAATATAATAAATGGAGAAAATTAGAGTAAATAAATCTAATTTAAAAATGCATGTTAGAATTAAAAAAATGTAGAGTTCATAGTCAATAAATTTTAAGTTGAGAATTAAATTGCTTTAGAAACTTTATTTCCAACAATTGAATAACCTGTTAGTGTAGATAGTCAGTCTGAATCTGAAAACGAAGATCCTGATGAAGTCAAAGATAATAGTTTTTCATAATAATAATAGAATTCAAGGAGAGGAAGCAAATAAATTCCTCCTATTTCATCTAATGATTTGTGTTAATATTAAATCTTAGATAAATTAAAGAAAGAAAAATAAAATAGATTTGTACCACATTAATAAGCATAGTTATAGATGTCTCAATATGGATAAATTAATGCAAATACCAATATTAATATTAATATGAAATAGTAACTTAGAAAACTATTATTATGTAAACCTGGTTTATTTGAATATTAGGAATAAAAAGCATAAATTTAAGAATTAAACTTTTTTAATGATTTAAAACAAAAGATGAATAATTTACATTTATTTCCTAAAACTGAATAGACATAAATAGAATTTTGGTATAAAAAGATAGTAAACCTTAAAGAAGACTTAGTTGACATGTAAGATTTTGAAACATTGAAAAATTACGAAGTGTTTAATAGGCAATGGAATGCTGATTTAGTTGTTAAGAAATTAGGGATCAAGCTGAAGAAATTTAGAGGATTTAAAAAACTTAAGAGATATTTGTTATTTCCATATCTTTATGTTAATAAATATTTAGATAAAAAGGATTCAAATGATCAAAATAAACCAGTAGAAAAATCAAAAAAGAAAAGTATTTATCAAAATTATAATTTAGGACCTACAAGACCTAAGGTAATCAAAAAGACGAGAGTTAGTCCTAAAATCTGAAATAATTTGTATATTAATCTATTTCATATTATTAATAATAAAAATGGGATAATGCAAATGTTTAGAGGCACAAAAATAATTAACTATTGAAGGAATGCCTATTTAAGATTCTGTAGACCAAGAATAGGATTATCAAATTCAAAGAATATTACAACCTCTTAAATTATACGAAACTTTACCATTGCCCTCTTATTATTCCTCCGTAGCAGAATCTTATGAGGATTTTTCTCCTGAAAAAAATATTCCTGAAGATTCTGCATGCACAGACTTCGTGGTTCCAAATATCGAGATCACCAATATCCCTGAAACTACGTTCTGCTAAAATTATCCAAAATCTGAAAAGGCATATTAACTTTAGGGTTTCATATATAAAGGTTAATGGAAGAAATTTGAACCATATGGTTTTGGAGTTTTTGTTTATAATGATGGCGCTATTTATATTGGCTATAGTGTAAATTTTAACCCTCACATTTATGGGAAAAAATTATATCCAGATGGTTCAGAATATGAAGGAGAGTATTTATATGGCTCTCATCATGGTTAAGGTATTCTGAAAAATAAAGAGTTAACATTCGAGGGAATATGGTGTTCAAATGTGCCAGTGAAAGGGAAGGAAATATGGAAGGATGGCACCATTTTTTAAGGAGAGTACAAAGACGGTAGAAAATGTGGGTTTGGTTTTATGAAGTGGAAGAATGGCAATTAGTATGAGGGTATGTTTTATAATGATCAATTCGACGGTTATGGAGTGTATATATTTGCAGATGGGTTCATTTATGAAGGAGAATGGAGGAATTCGTAAATGAATGGAAGGGGCAAATTAATATACCCCAATTCAAGTTATTTTGAGGGAGAGTTCGCAAATGATAAATAAATTAATGGATTTCAATATTCATTAAATGGACTTGAATAAACGGTAGCATAACTTAGTTTTAATTCTACAGTAAGCGAAAGAAGCTACCTTAAAATAGATAGACCGAGTATTAAAGCAGCATATATTGAATTTAAGAGTGTATGTGGTTGAGATTTACTATATTTAATATTTTTTGTGTTAAAGAAAGTCGAGTGAATCATGAATAGCTCTTTAAAATAATGAGGTTGTTCTATGACTTATTGTAGGGATAAAAATGTTGACTTAGTGAAAGTTCCCTATTTAAGGTATTCGTCTCCATCAAAATTTTATTTATTATTATTAAATAATATAAGATATAAATGGTGAATTGAGGCGCTTTCAAATTTGACTTACAAAGCTTCTAAAATTTTAGTGGAAGTCTTGTATACCCTCTATAAACTAATATTTTGATTCTATTTATAAATGCTTATATTTCAAAGTACAGTTAGCAAATTAAATTTAATAATTTATTACAGTAGCAAAAATTAATTGAAAAAGATTTAAACATTGCAAATATTTAGTGTTTTCAATATGTTACTTATGTAACATCAACTCTATCTTGTCAGCTTTCAATTTCAATAGATTATAATTTGAAATTATCAAAAAAATCAGAAAGAAACGAATCTAAAAAGTATAAAGAATTCATTCTTGAATATTTTACATTAGAATCACTAATTAGAATTAGTAGATTAAATTATTAAATAATGTAAGAAATCACCATTGTTTAGTTAATTCTTGTGTTTTTGTTTTTGTTTTTTGATTTTGGTTGTTTATGTACAAATATAACATAAATCAAAATCATGGTAGCATTCCAAAGAATTATAGAACTGACTCATTCCGAAGAGTCTGTTTAAATTGTTAACGATTAGGATCTTTTCCTTTTTTCTTGATTAAAATCCATTAAATCTCTGAAGCTTGAATTTGATACAGAGTCTCCTACAATGATGTTTTCCAACCCATTCAAGCCTTCTATATCATATTCCTCTTTGAGTTAAGCTACAAATTCCTCATCTTCCATTATCAACTTTTTTAACTCTGATTTTTGATCTTCAGTAATTTTATTTTCAAAACATAAATGAGATATTAGTTTTAGGACTTCCTTATAGAATTCTGCTAATTCATCAGCCATAATTTTTAATTTAAATATTTATATTATATTTGCAAATTACATTAATGTTGCATCATAATATTATAAATAATTTGCATTTTGTGGATAGTATGTAACAAATAATTTGAATGCTTCGTAAAAGCCAACGATCCAATAGAATCATTATATTGAAAAATAAATTTTATTTGAAAACTTGGATATTAAATAAATAAAACAAATTTAACAAAACACTATGCCAATTTATCCGACTGCTCCTTTAACCAGCTCTGTTCCTGCTAACTTAAACTATTCAACACCTGTTACATATGCCCAACCTCTAACATATGCTTAACCAGTTTAATACGTTCCTCAACCTGTCCAATATGTCCCATAACCTGTTTTGACTTAATCAGTTGTAGCTCAACCTGTCATTGCTGCTCCACAATAGCCAGCAATCAAAGGAGAATCAAGAGTTGAATATAGAGAATTCTAAAGACCTGTGGTCGAAATGGAAACAGAAACCATTTAAGTTCAAGTCCCAAAAACTAAATACGTGACTGATTATTATCCAGTCGAATATTAAACAGAATACATTCCCAGAACTGTTTATGAATAATAAACTGAATATGTCCCAGTCACTAAAACAGTCCCCAGAGTTGAATATGATGCAGTCGAGAGAGAAGTACAAAGAGTGGTAATATGTTACTTATGAGCATTCCCTAGTAATATTAACCCGTTCAAACAGTGCCAGTATAAACTGTGGCTGTCTAACCAGTTGTCTAATCTGTAGTTCAACCTGTTTAACCATTGACTTATTCTATCGCCAGACCAGTTGCTTAGGCCCCTGTTTATGCTCAACCAGTTATTGCACCAGCTCTAACATATTCAGGTGTTAGACATGCATATGCTCCAGTAAAGAATTTATGTGAGGTTAATCTAGAGCTACCCAAGTGTTCCAACCTATGGTCAATTACCACAAACAGTCAGATCATAACCATAACCACATCCTTCAAATAAACCATAATGAGTATGAAGTATCATAATTATAATCAAAAATTTAATTTAATTTACATAATTTATCTAAATAAGCAAAAGGTTGTTTTATTGTCTCAATACCCATTTAATATGAATAACACTTTTATTTTGTGTAACCTAAAATGATTAAAAATCTAGTTTTCGAAAGAATTTATTTTCAACACAATAAATAAGAGATATAGTTAAACTCTCAAGACAATAGAATTTTAATTTCCATTATATATTAACTATTCTATTAAAAATAAATTGTAGTGTTTTTTATAAATTGGCCTCACCAATTATTATAAAAATGATATTTTTCTAATTTAAATTATTCGTTGGGTTTAATCCTCTATATTGGTAATCTCCTTCTCATTGTAGTTAATTTAGGGACTTCATTTAAATTATTGCTTAAAAGTAATTAATTGTTATTTCTAAATAATTATTATATGCTTATTTATGATGTTGTCTATTTAATCCAACCTCTAATAAATATATATTCAGGAATAATTAGATATGATTCACATTCCTCATTTTAATATATCCATTATTTAAAGGTGTATATTAGATTCTAAAAATGTAAAAAATAAGTATCAATCAGAGTAAAGTAATAATATGAGTTTACAAAAGATAATCATTTAAAGAAATTGGTTTCAACTTAATTGTCAAACTGAAATATTAATAACTATCTTATGTAATTAATTAACATTTTATTAATCTCTTAACTTTGAGGATGAGTTTAAATAGTCCAAAAATATTTGGTAATAGATTCATATTCAAGAAAAAATTATCCCAAGGCTCATTTGGAATTGTATATTTGGTACTTGATAGAGCAACAAATACGGAATGTGCTTTGAAGGCAGAAAAAGAAGAGTATGAAGAGTCAAAAACCTTAGAAAAAGAAATAGCCATGCTAATTTAGTTAGACAATGTGGTTGGTATTCCAAAATTGATATGGCATGGCATTGATGGATAAATATAATTAATGGCGATAGAATTATTGGGCAAGGACTTAGCTTATTATTTTAAATAATATCGGAAATTTTCATTGAAATGTTGTTTGCAAGTTTGCTATGATTGCTTGGAAATTTTGAAAAATATTCACAAAAAATTTATAATTCATAGAGATTTGAAACCAGAGAATATTATGATGTCTAAAGAATTAGATTAAATATACATAGTCGACTTTGGCATAAGCAAGATATATTTTGAAGCTGATCATATGTAAATATTGTTCTTAACTAAGTTCTATAAAGACCTTTTAGAGAAGACAAAGACTTTATTGGCACAACAAGATATGCATCAATTGCTGCTCATAAAGGATATGAATTAGGTAGAAAAGATGATCTAGAGTCCCTCATCTATGTGATAATCTATTTTTTAAGAGGCAATCTTCCATGGTAGAACATGCCTGTGGAAGATAGCGAGAGAAACCGTCTAGTGGGAGAAATGAAATAAACAATTCCATTATAAGAGTTAATTGGAAATAAATTACCAGAATTAATTAAAGCCTTATCATACATTAGAAAATTAAAATTTGAGGAACAACCTGACTATGAATATATCAAAAACTTAATTGAAGAAGCAGCTGAAAATAATAATATTAAATTAGATGGCTATTATGATTGGAATGAAGGTGTCAAACTTAGCAAAAAGTTATCAGAATCAAGACTATCATAGGATAAAAAGGAATAACATTCACCAAAATAATAAGCTAATTGCACATCCAAAATATCTAATCAAGTTATTTGGTCACTCTTTGATAACTCCATGTAATTTCCTTATTAGAAAATAGTCCTTAATCTTAAAAGAATTTATTAGCTCCCCCAGATACCAAATATAATAGAGGAGAAGTCCGTCATTTAACTAGTTCTTCTAATAATTCTTTTTTTATGGGTTCGCACAGTTCATTGAGATTGAAGTACTTACCATCTTAAATGAATAAGAAATCTAATTCAGTTTTAAAGAGAATGGTTTCTATAGAGTTTATATCCAATTAAGAATCAATATATAATGAGTACATGGATGAAAATTTTGAAGATTACCCATTGCAACTAAAAATCACATAAGCAAATTCAATGCAGAAAATGTAAGAATTTATTTGACTTTTAGAACATTCAAAAAATTTAATAAATTCAATTGTTCTTCAAATTAATCAGATTGATTAGTATATACTTTAAAAATAATAATATATATTTGTTATATTAACTACAATTCTTGTAAAAATGCTGAGGAACTTAGAAAAAATTAGTTTAATTATGGCACAAAGCTTGTCTCAAACAAGATTCGGCAATATTTTAATATATTCTAATAAAAATTTAAATCATTAAAATTGCTTTCCTTTATACATTCATAATAAATATGGAAAAATTATCATTTTTAATTTATTTATCTAAAGCAATTTTAATTTACAGCTTATTGATAATTACAAAAGATTTATCATTCACGAATTTGCTAATTTTCCTAAGTGCTAAATTGAATTTAGTTCAGCAGAAATAATAACTAAGAAATTTATAATTTTTTTCTCTATGAATTATATTAAACTATTTGATTCAGCTTAACTAAATTCTCGCTATCTATTTCAGACAATTATTTGTTTTGATTGATTTATACTATAAATGCAATTAATTCAACTAAATGATGAAGTTTATTTGATTCACAGCTTTAAAAATTTTAATTCTACTTATTGCTTTAATGCTTGTTTAATTCATTTGATTAGAGGAAATTAATTTTAAGTTTGCCTTTCCTATCAACTTAAAAAACATTCTAATTGAAATAATTCTCATTAAGAATAGAATGTTCTAAAAGATCATAAATTATGCAGACACTCTCAATTAATTTCTTTTACTTTTTTAATGAATAATTCTTGAATTCTTCTCCTTAAATCATTTTATTAAAATCTTCTGTCTCTTAATCAAATTAAAAGCAAAGATGCTTTTTAATATCAAAGGCCAATTGAATAAATGTATTTTTCAATATTTTTTATTGTTAAGGTGATAATTAAAAAAGAAACCCGTTAATTTATTGTTATAATTGATTTAAAGAGTGCATCAAATCTTACTTCAATTCAAATGTAAATTTCTTAGTATATTTCCTTTCATATAAACCATTCTCATAGTAACGTTAGAATAGAATTTATTTGTTTTAATCCTTTAGTGAATTAATAAAAAAAAAAGGCTAGTAATAATTATATTTCTAGTCTGAAGCAGTGAAACTTTTCTCCATCATCTGACTTTAAATTTCCAATTTTTGTAATTCATTTTTTACCCAATCTTGATTTTTATTTAACTTTTCTTCTCCTTAAAATATACTATTCTTTATTTTTTGAATGTCAATACTTGCAATAAATTTTTTTACTTCATTTTCAAAATCCTTACTTGTAATAAAATTTTCAGTTGCTCCCCATCTAATTTATTTGAATTAAATATATAAAATATCATCTTTTATGTAGAAATGAGTAGAATGATCACCATTTTAAAATAGATAGTTGTGTGATTTTTTAAAATATTTCGTAATTCTATTACCTTATTTCAGAAGTTTAAATTAGCTAGAAATAATAAAATTACTAGAATTTTGTGTAGTACATATTATTTTAAATCTCTATTGAGAATTATTTTCCAGTATCTCTGAGTTATTGGAACAAGGAATGAAAATAATAGTTTTACTTTCTTCATCAAATTCCCGTACATAAGGAAAACCTTATAATAAAGTTGTCCCAAATTATTCTGTTAATTCTAGTTTACATTGGCTCTAATTTTCACCATAGAGATTCTTCAATTGTGGAAGGATAAACATAAAGTATTTAATATTTAATAATTAAAATTATATCAAATAAAAAAAAAATTGAAATATCGAATTTCTACAAAATCGTATGTATGTGATATCTTAATTTAACATCAATAAATTATAAATTGAAGGTTATATGGAGCTTAGAATCGCCTCACCTTTGTCAAGCTCCTGAATAGCACAGGATACTTATTTCTATATGTTGTATTCTTATATATATTATTTTTGTCAAAATTAGATATTTATTAATTAATTTGTTAAATGAAGACAAAGCACTTTCTCATTTAATTGTTAATATTTACAACTGTCTAAGCAATAAGTATATAGCTGTTATTTGATCCTTGGTCTTAGGAAAGATTTGAAAGAATGTCAAGAGAAAATGCAAGATTGTTTAATCCATTATTATAAGTATTGAATAGAATTGATTTCATAAGAGAGGCTATCTCTATTTTAGGGATTTTAAGTTCGTTAATGTATTTATTTGGGTATAGAATTTGTACTATATGAAGATCAAAGTTCTTTGGGCAATTGACAATTTTGTGGTTGGTTTGTTATTGGGTGATATTCTTTAATTTCAATATCTTGAGAAGTGAAAGATTTTTTGCGTATGTATTACCTGGAACATTTGGAATATGTTCAATTTCAAATACACTCTTAAAAACATTGTGATCAATTAATATATAACGTTAAAATAATTAGTAATATTTTAAATTTATGATCCCTCGCAAGTCATCCATGTCTAAGAAAACTATTGGGCAACCTAAATTCATCTTAAAAGAAGATAATATTTTAGATTCCTCATATTTGGAGATGTATTAATAAAATAAAAGTCACAATCCTGGTTAGAGACTATAATAAATACTACAAAAATAAATAAATCAGTCCTAAAAGAATAAATCAGTCGAAGATGATAGATTAACTAGATAATAATTTATTAATAGAAGCTAATAAGTAGTCCGTTAAGATTTAGGATCATATACTCCTTAAAATGTATCATATGATGATGTAGATTTAAGAGAAGAGAATAAATAGTTAAAATGTACTCTAATATTAACATATTATAGAGTAGATAAGAAAATTACAATTAGATTTACAGTAGAGTAAACATTAAAATCAATTACTAATTCAAGATTTCGAATAATTGAGAGATTAATTAGAAAAACAATCTGAAGAATTCAATTAAGCCTTCGAATTGATAAATGAAGAAAAATAATTAATCCAATAGGAAATTGATTAGAAAGATTAGATAATTGCTTCGTTAAGATAATAATTGTAATAATTGGCTCCTCCCAGTAAAACTTAAATGCAGATAGATGAGATCAAAAATAGGATCTTAGCTCGTAAATCTGTACATAGAAGTTCTAGAGAAAACATCACGCCATCAATGAATGATATGGACCAATCAGCCAGATAAGATTTTAAAGAAAACTTCATGGATTTCAATAATCGAATAACCCTCTAGAAATCTATTAAATGAATTCATTAATTAATATAAAACCCTATAATATATTTCATCTTACATTAATATAAAAGCAATCAACTTTTAAAAGAGTTTAGGGATCATCAGGCTTTGTCTCTGAGTAGGATTCCCATTACTTGTTTTTCACTCATTTACAAGACTAGTTAATAGTAATGAATTTCGCCATAAAGTTTGATTGATAGAGTTTTTGGACTCGGAATTTCATTAAAGATGGTAGGCTAATTCATATCGATATAACCGATACATTATTACTGATCATTTTAAAGGGAAAACAATTTCCATTCTTTATTTATTTCCTTATTCATCCATGGATTTAAGTCTGACAATCTAAATGTGAAATGAGTAATTAATGGTAAGACTTAAACATCTAAATTTTATTACTTCAATTTCGATAAGAATTATGGCGATTGATTATCATCGAATTCAGGAATAGTGAATTCTAGATATGTTTCTTCTATTCTCATCATTAATATTTGTTAATCCTAATTAATTAGATTTTCCTTTATAATCCCCTCCATTCTCTCTAGCTCATTTGACCAAAATAAATAATTAGTCAAATTAAATCTAGTATTGATGTGAAATTTTAACAAGGAGATCTTCCCACTGCAATAATGCAAATCCTATAGCCCCAAAGTTTTTCTTAAGTTTTTGGTATTTTTTGGAATGTCAGCGAAATTTCCATCTTCATCAAGTATACAATCTAATTGAATAATTGTCTTGATATTCTTTTTATTTAAGGCTTCTTTTAAGACACAAAATAGTCCATAATCATTTACATACTTACCAGCACAAAGAGCATTTTATATTAGCAATTCATTAGATTACTACAATTCTTAAAAATCCAAAGCTTCCATAGTTTTTAAATAGAAACTCAAGTCCTTATTATGCTTTTATCCTAATAATAAAATTCCTTTTTTATTGAGTTTTAATTTGCTTGATGATGGGACTTTAGGAGTTTTCAGATTTTCATCATTTTATTTATCTAAGGGGGCCAAATCTTTCAAAAGATGATTGGTGATGATTCTTTCTTTTTGAGATTGGGATGCCTCTATATTTTTAGGTAGCTCCATAGTAAATCTTCTGCTCTATTATTCTAATAAGGTATATTGGGAATAATAAACTTTTTGATTCCTCCAAAAGTTTGGACTGATGCACAGAAATGCTCATTTTTCGTTTGTTTATCTCCAATGAATTTAATATTTGTTGGAATTAATCATTCTCATCACTTTATGACATTATTATTATATAATCATTTTTATAATGGTATACCTTATATCAAAAATTGTCTTCTTCTAGGAGTAATAAAAAAATTAATTCCCGTAGTACCATTACTTGATTTAGGAGAGTACAAAGAAGATACCTATTAATTTTGACTGAAACTCCTGGAGGATTTAATTTTTTGGAGTTTGGAAGAATGAACAATGGCTCGATATTCCTGTAACAATTTAGATACTGAAGACATAATCTAATTCTACTCTTGTTATTCCTTCTTTTTTTTTTGGCTTGATTTCCTTTATTAATTTATTTCCAAATATTCCACACTTTGATTAGGGGAGATTTTATTGAATTTGATTAATACTTGTCTGTTCTATTGTTGTTTCTACTCAAAATCTAAGTTGTCTACATAATTGGATATCCTTCTGATAGAACTAGTTTAAACAGAGACTGTTTTAGATTCTTTGATAGTGTTAAGTAATAATTAAGTGTCATTTTGAATGCAACTTGACTTTTTTGAATTTAGTTCCTTTTATTATCTTAACTATTCCATTTAAATTAATTATTCCAATCTTTTGGTTCTCCAAATCCTTTTTTAAATTGATTATTCTTCATAGAGATGTTTAAGTTCTATTCTTTGTTCCAAGAATCTATACATAATTTCTACAATTAAATAATTGACTACATTTTTAAATAGCATAAACCTCCAATTTGGGAGATCCACATTTAACTGTGCTTTAATTGATTTGCAAATCATCTCCAAATGCTTAGCCATAATCAATTCTGGATATCAGATACTGTTGACCATTTTTAATCATCATTAATTCTGCAAACCCAGATGAAACCACATAAATCGAGACATTCTCAGATCCTTGTGAAAATATGATTTGATTATGATGAAATGTTTTAAAATGAAATTCAAAACTTAAAGCCCTGAGTTCACTGTCTGTCCATGCTTCAAAGAGAGAGCATTGTCTAAGCAATTTTATTTTGTCAAGCAAAGAAATGTGTTTCCCTACGAATTTCCAAAAATGCTATTTATCCATACAAGCAAATTCGCAATCAGATTTACATACAATAGTTGATGACACCATTCCTTCGTCAATCAGAGCGAGATCTCCAAAGTGATCACCTACATGGAGTTCTTTGAATACGTAACTTTAAAATAAAGTTGTGTCTTCGTAATTAGGAGTGCAATCCTATTGTTGATTATAAGGTCTTACTTTTTCATCTTGGAGGAGTCTCAATGCCTTTTTATTCTTTGGGTTATAATAGATGAGCGAAACAGTTCCCTTGAGAATCAAATAAAACTTTTAGCCCAAGTCTCCTTTTCTAAGGATGATATCTCCTGGTTTTCTTATGGTTAGATAGAGGAATTCACAAAACTTTTGAAATTTTTGGAATCCGTCTTTTTGAATCATATCTCGACAATAGTTATATTTTTATAAGCTTTAGGCGATTGATGTTTCATCTTTTTGAGTTCTATTTTTGAAACTTATTATAGTAATAGGATTACGATTTGAGAAGTGGAAATTTCGGTATTTCTCTCTTTCGTATGATTATTAAAAGGAACTTAACAAATTTGTATAATTTATGAATGCAATTTTTATTCATTTATATTAATTAATACTGTCGGTACAAGTTCATTTTCAAAACAACAGTGGTTTTTAACAATTTGAATTTAAATATATACTAATGTCATCAGAAATTGTTGCTTTTATCAAATGTTTGATTGCCTGAATCTCTTCTTCGAAGTATTGGCGATTTGGTGGAAGCAACAGAACTCATGTATGATTGAACTATGCCTTTTCTCACTTGGGAATGATCTAATTAATATTCTATGGAGGCTTTATCGTTTTTCTTAACAGTAGACTAATATTATTAATAAGGATTGATTTATTTTGGTGAATTGAGTTTTGAACAGCTAGATTTTTGAGATTTACTATTAACCTTAATAGGTTTAATGTATTCTAGAAACCAGGGGTGCAGGAGAATCTAAATATGAGTTTAAATTTACTTCGGCTGTGGAAATGCGATCTTCAGGATCGAACTGTAGCATTTAATACAAAAGATCTTGTAGATAGACATCAGTAATGGAATTGAAATTGATGTTGCATTGCATAATCAATTGGAATAATTCTTTATCATTTGAGCCTTTGAAGGGGAAGTAGCCTTGAGTTAAGTAGAAGATGACAATCCCAAAGGCCCAAATATCAGCAGGAGGGCCCTTATAATATTGCTTGGTAACAATTTCCGGAGCCATATAACTAGGAGTTCCGCAATAGATCTTCTTTTTGATTGAGTTGGAAAACAGAGTGGAGAAGCCAAAATCAATCAATTTGACTTGGCCATCGGAATACAGAATGTTCTCGATTTTGACATCTCTATGAGTAATGTGTCGAGCGTGTAAATAATTGAGTGCTGATGCTATTTAATATAATGCTTATTTTAAATTATATCCTTTCAAGGTGTTTAATTATTTTCCATCTATATATTCCAAGAGTAGGTTGATGTGATTGTTGGTTTCGATTACATTGTAAATATTAATGATGTTTGGATGTTTGATCATTTGCAGTATACGAATTTCACGAAGTATGGACTTTTAACGACTAGAAGAGATGGCAGATTTATTGTAAATTTTAAGAGCATAAGATTTGAGGGTTAATTTGTCTGCACATAATCTAACACTGGCATAGGAGCCTGATCCAATTTGTTTTCCAACCATATATATTTCTTTAAATGCTGCTGTTCTGTCAATTATAGATTCTTTGAATAGTTTTAAAGTTAAATCTTATGAATTGCATTTCCATAGAGTCTCATCAAAAAGGGGATCGTGTGCTTTCAACTTTGGTTATTTCGGTATTTGGTAATTTTCAATGATGGTGAGTTACGAGGAGTTGTCATGGTATCGATTTGAAATTTTGCTATCTCTCCGTCTAGTTATAACCTCTTTGATAACAAAATATGTACAACCTGTTGATTTAAGTTCTCCTTATTCTATGGTGAAATAGATCTCCTTGAGAATTATTTCCAAAGCATACTTTCTGTTAAATGATTAAATAATTTATATAATGCAATATATATATATATAAATCATCTCAAGTATTATGATTGAAAAGCAAAATAAATTTATTAGTGGTGCTAATTTTAATGCTAAGAACACTAAGACAGTTTAGTTCTATTTTTCATAAAGTTCCTGTAAGATTGTTTTCAGGTGCAGTTGAAGTTGCTCCCAAAGATGTACCAATATTAATTTATAGCTCTAGGATGTATTAAAAATCTTGCATTCAGAGTCAAGAGACATTTTCAGAAATGTGGCCATCATAGCCCATGTTGACCATGGAAAAACAGTATATGATTGATTCTATTTGAAAAGACTCTTGTTGATGCTTTATTACGAGCTAGTGGGTGTGCAAATGAATATGATTCAATGGACAGTAATGCATTGGAGAAAGAAAAGGGAATCACCATTCTATCTAAGGTAACCGGAGTTACTTTTGGAGGAAACAAAATAAATATCGTGGACACACCAGGACATTAAGATTTCGGAGGAGAAGTAGAGAGAATTATGTCAATGGTTGATGGTGTATGTTTATTAGTTTGTGCAACTGAAGGACCTATGGCTTAAACTAGATTTGTCTTATAAAAGGCCTTGCAATCCAATTTGAAACCAATTGTCATCATCAATAAAGTAGATAGGCCATCAGCTAGACCAGTAGAAGTCGAACATGAAATTTTCAATTTGTTTTGTGATTTGGAGGCTCCAAGCGAATCACTTGAATACCCCTTGTATTTTTGTTCAGGCAAAGAAGGTTGGGTCAGAAAAGGCTCCATGGAAGCAGAAAAACAAGGATTAGAAGATGTATTGGAAACCATCATAGAAACAATTCCACCTCCCTAAATAGGAACTGAAAGCAATTTCAAAATGTTGGTTTCTTAATAAGAGAGTCATCCTTACTATGGCAAAATAGTTATTGGTAAAATTCATCAAGGAGAAGTCAAACTCAATGATAGAGTCTTGGCAGTTGACTAATAAGGAAAATTGGTTGAAACTGCTAAGGTGTTGAAAATATTAAGAAGATATGGAATGTAACAATTAGAAATGGCAAGAGCTGTTGCTGGAGATATTGTCTAAGTAGCAGGATTTACTAATGCTATTGTTACCAACACTTTAAACGAAATGGGAAAAAATGAAGTGATTCCATCCATCCCCATTGATCCACCTATGATTTCAATATCTATTGGAGTGAATACTGGTCCTTTAGCAGGTAAAGAAGGAACCAGACTCAACGCTTAACAAATTAAGGAAAGACTGATGAGAGAAGGATAAAGTGATGTTGCATTATAAGTGATGGTTAAAGATAAAACAGATGACAATGCTTGTGTGTAATTGCTAGGAAGAGGAGATCTTCATTTGGCTATATTACTTGAAAATATGAGAAGAGAGGGATTTGAAATGCAAGTTTCACCCCCTTAAATTGTTACTAAGAAGTGTCCAGACACTGGCAAAACCTTGGAACCAATGGAGAAAGTGACCATTGAAATTGATTAACAATACATGACTGGGCTAATTGATAAAATGTCATAGAGAAAAGCTATTTATGAAGATTGCATTAACATTGATAAAACCAGAGTTAAGTTAATATTCTCAGCACCAACTAGAGGTTTAGTAGGTCTGAGAGCAGAGTTAATTAATGATACCAGAGGAACTGCTATTATGTAATAACAATTCTTAGGCTACTAAGAATATAGAGGAGTCTTAAAAAAGAATTTAAAGGGAGCTATTATCTCGATGGCTGCTGGAGTTTGTCAAGGATATGCTCTTGAAGACCTTCAAAAATTTGGACCATTATTTGTCAAACCTGGATCCAAAGTTTATGTTGGCTAAGTCATCGGAGAACACAAGTTAGAATAAGATATTGAAGTCAATCCAATCAGAGAAAAGAAGTTAACTAATGTTAGAACAGTGTTGGCTGATGAAAAGATCAGTTTGTTTCCTCCCAGGACTTTCACTCTAGAAGATGTCATTGCTTACATTAGGGATGATGAATTAGTCGAAGTCACTCCAAAGGATCTCAGAATTAGAAAAAAAGAACTAGATTCTACCCTTAGAAAAACATAGCGTAAAAGCCAATAAAAATGATTAATAATGCGTATTATAAATTAATTTTTTACAAAATGGGAATATGTGCATCGAAGAAACAGAAGGATGATTTGGCCTTAAAACCAAAGCATTGGCCAAGCAGTCCAGGCCGTAGGCATACTGGTAACAGCTTTAAATATGGAACTGATCTTTACATCAATTTAAAAAATGGGTAGATTGACAATTACTACATTTTGGGTGATGTTCTTGGAGTGGGAGCCTTTGGATAAGTAATTAAAGCTACCCACAAACAGAGCGGATAAATCAGAGCGTTAAAAACTTTGGCTAAAAAAAAGATAATAAATGAAGAGAAGGATAAAATGTTTGCAGAAGTTAACATACTTCGAAAATTAGACCATCCAAATATAGTTAAACTTTTTGAACTATTTGAGGATGGCTAAAACTATTATTTAATCACTGAGTATAAGCTACATCTATTATATTTAGACTTATCTAAGGAGGTGAACTTATTAAAAAAATACAGGCACAAAATACCTTTTCAGAAGCTGAAGCCGCATTCTATATGAGATAACTTTTATCAGCCCTGCAATACTGTCATAAAGCTAAGATAGTTCATCGAGATTTAAAATTAGAAAATCTTATGCTAAATGCAGATTCAGAAAAACCGGTTTTAAAAGTTATTGATTTTGGAACCTCCAGGAAGATCATCCAAGAAAAATATCTTACATCTAAATTAGGAACTGTAATTAAATAAGTTTTATATTTATAGCCTCATTACACTGCCCCAGAAGTCTTCAAATAATAATACACTGAAAAATGCGACATTTGGTCTTGTGGAGTGATTCTGTATACATTACTGTGTGGGTACCTCCCCTTCAATGGAAGTGATGCAAGGGCTACGCAGATATTGATTGAATATAACAAATGGAGTTTCGATAAAAATGATTGGGCTAATATATCCTCAGAAGCCAAATCATTTGTCAAGAAACTTATGACTTACAATCCAGACAAGAGAATCTCAGCAGAGGAAGCATATTCAGATCCTTGGCTTCAAGGACATATAACTAAGACAATAGATTCAAGAGCTTTAACTCGGTTATAACAATTTTATGTAATTAATTAAAATCTATTTTTAGTAATCTCATATTATATAGGAATTAATTCGACAATTTATAACCTTTTAAGTTCTAACCCCTGAAGACAAGGCAAAGATCTTAGAGAATTTTCAATCTTTGGATAAGGATGGAGATGGGAAAATAAATAGAGAAGATTTAATCTTTGGGTTAAAAGAGTCAAAGTTAGATGAGACTGAAATAGAGAAATAAATAGATAGAATCATGGAGTAATGTGATTTCAATAAGACTGGATCTATAGAATACAATGCCTTTCTGAGTATAATGATCAGATAGGAATTATCGGAGAAAACTCACAAATTGGAGGAAGCCTTTAAGTAATTTGACATCGATAATGATGGTCTGATAAAGAAGTAGAATTTAGAGGATGTCTTGGGAGGGATAATAATAGATGAAACTCATTGGGAAGAAGTACTAAAAAAATGTGACTCTGATTAATAAGGGATGATTAACAAAGAAAACTTTGTTAAACTAATGTAATAATTATGAACATTAAATATATATATTCATTTATAACCTATTTGAATTTTAACGATAATCGATTATAATTAATTCAAATGTTAATACTTTTCATTACATTGCTGTCAATTCTTGGAAAAAGAATAAATAAGGAGGAAATACAGATTGAGGAACCTGTTATTATGAAACATGATGATCATAATGGATTCACAATAAAGATTCCTGGAGCTGGAACAGTAAATTTGGTTCCTTCAATAGGAACTGTGAGTTTTGCCATTGAGGTTATGGATGAAAATGCAAGTTCTGCCCTTGAGAAGGCAAATGAGTTAGTTACTTAGGCAACTGAATCAATAAAGTACGACTTGTATTCTACAAAATACGAAATACAAACTGGAATCTTTTAACTTTAAATTCGATATGATTACTCTAATGGTTAGTAGAAGTTGATTGGATATACAGTTACTAATTAGTTATATATAACAACAAAGGACATGCAATTGATTGGTAAAATTATCACAGTTGGAGTGAATGCTGGATTGAACAGAATAGACGGAGTCACTTATCAAAATAATGCTGAAGAAATATAAAAAGCAAATGATGAAGCCTTGAAATTGGCAATTGAAGATGCCAAGAGAAAAGCACTATAAGTAGCAACTACATTGAAAATGAAATTTGTTAAAATTTTGAAATTCAAATATTTGGATTCATATGGTAGTTCAGTTACTAATGGTTATGAACCATAAGCAGGAGCTGTTGAGAAGGAGAGCAGAAGCACACCTACTCCAATTTATGCATCAGAAAGCCATGTGAGAGTGGACATCGAGTTGAAAGTGAAATTAGAATGACTTAAATTATAATAATATGTTCTGATATTATCAAATTAAATGTGTTCGTATTATAATTTATGTTATTATTAGCAATATTGATATCAATAAGTTTGAGTCTAGAATTGCCAGAAAAGAAATGTAACATCACTGCGACAGGTATCAGCTCAAAATAAGCTTCGTAATTTGAACAACTATTGAATCGCATTCGAAATGAAGTGGCCACTGGTCGAAGAGCTAATCATAAAGGTTAAATCCAATCGGCAGCAGATATGCATATGATCACTTGGTCTAAAGATATGGGCAAGAAGGCTTAGGAATGCTGTGATACCTGTCCTGAATATCCGATATTCTGTAGAAATGTAAAGTTTGGTCTTCCATATCAAGTTGAAAGGCTTGACTTCATTTATGATCCACAAAACTATAGTTCATACCTAAAAATGGGAATGGGACCCAGAATTCGTATTAAATGAATGGATGGAAGCTTTAAACTCAGCATAATAATTACTCTAATCAATGTTATTTCAAGTAGGATGTGGCAGAGCCTTGACTCCTGTCAAAGACAAATTCTTAATGTATACAGTGTGCTTTTTCGATTATGTAATAAACTTATCATGAGTAAGTGCAGCCAAACAGAGCAGATCCATACAGGCCAGCTCCTTCAATAAACATAGCTGGTTCCTGCAGATTGGGAAGATCGTCTAGCTATCTTGGCCTTTGTACTTCACCGTATTCGAAGGATAACCAACTCATTTGGATCAAATAGGAAAGTAGATTAATAGAATCCGAGTGATTAATATATACATTATGTAAATTATGTTTATTTTCGTTATTTAAATTTGAATGAAGCAACCACTGCAAAGTCGACTAATAATTCAGGATGCCAGAAGAAAGAATTTAAGTGCCATTGCCCTTCTAGATCCATCGCCAAAGTAAGTCACCATAAGAAAGGCATCGATTGGAGCATTCAAGAATAAAGAAAATATTAATATTAATGAAACATAGAAGTAGAAAACTCCTCAAAATGCTACTACCGAAGACATCAGAAAATAAATAAGCTAACTCATAAAAAGAACAACTCAATAACAAAGAACTAAATTAAAAAAAATAGACATTGTCTGTGAAGAATAAATAGAAATCAATGATAACTAAGACAGCATTTTCGATGAATTCACCCTCAGACTCTTATACTAAAAGGAATTAGAGTATAAAATTCATCCATCTTTTTTTGATCATCAGACAAGCATTACACCCATTATGAGATCAATCTTATTCGATTGGATTAGTGAGGTTTGCAAAGAATTTACATTAAAAAGGGAAACTTTTCATCTTTGTGTACACAATCTAGATAGGTATATGTCCAAAATTTAAATCTCTAAATAAGAACTTCAATTGTTAGGTTTAGCAAGTCTATCCATTGCATGCAAAATAGAAGTATCGTATCAATCTATAATAGGAAATCTATCCCCCCAAAATTAATGATTTCTCTTAAGCCAGTAATTATAGCTTCACTGAATAACAGATCATTGAGAAAGAATAGCATATGCTCACTCAATTGAAATGGTTGATTAATCCTCCAACACTTTATCTTTGGAGCACTTGGTATCTGTCCCAATGGGACATTTATTATCCATAACCAAAACTTTAAATCAAATAGCCTACCTAAGTTTCCTACACTTTGTTTAGACATTATATGTCCTTGCTTGACTGTGCTATCCTAGATATTAAATTATATTAGTTCTCAAACAGAGAGATTGTTGCATCTCTTCTTTACTTGGTTTTGCTTAAACAATTTAGTGGAAGTACTTATTAAAGAATAGTTGAAAATAAACTCTAAGAAAGAGATATTTTAGATTTTCAACATATCTATAAACCTTTTATTGAATTAGTTTTTGGATTCTAATTCACTTAATTGGCTAAATGTATTAAATACTTTACCAAATTTCTGACTCTGGATATCATCATTGATTAGCATGGATAATTCAAAGTTACTGCAGAAAAAGAATTGGAAGAAGCTTACGAGTATTTTCTATCAATTTAAACCCACAATCCAGCTAATCTTTAATTCATAAGAAAATGATTGATTTAATATACTTTTCATAATTGTTTAATTATTGTTTGGTAATTATAATCAAATTACTATATATATACTCATAAAAATTAATAAAAATATCCCAAAAATTAAATGCAGTACAAATTCTTGTTATTATTTTGGTTTGCTTTATTCGATTTCGACATGAGGTTTCTTAATAAGAGAAAGGAAGGTTTTTAGATCTGGTGTGGGTTTGCAAGGTCTGCTATCTAATATCTTTTTAATTAGAATTTCCTGCTCTTTCACTTTATTTTAAGCTAAAATTAAACTCAAGAAATTACATAAATAACCGAAATGACAAACTTCTTTCTATTTTTTGAACAAGCCCAAAAATTCCTCATTAAATTTTAGTTAATCGAGTCTGCTTTATGTGCTAACCTTCACTTACTCTTTAATACCGTTTTATTTGGTTTACAAAATTTGTGCTATGACTGTTTTCTGTGCTTTCTCACATCTATTACTATTTTTTTAAGTTGATTCGAGTTCTTCTTGCCTTTTTGTAGATATTTCTTCTTCGCTTCTGGAATCAGATTATACAACATGGGAATGATATCGTAGATGTGAAAATATTTTGTTTGTTAACAAAAGGCTTGGCTATTGAGATCTGGATTTTTTCATGTTTTAGCTTTCTTCCTAAAGATTCAATAAAGGTTGATGACATCTTTTAATTATGATTTTCTGCAGTTTATTGATTGCTAAACTCCAGTTGTATCTCAAAACCATTAACTTAAATTATGTGGATGGTTTTTATTTATGTTTAATGTTTAATTGAGAGCAATTCATTTTATCTAATAGCAATCTAGCTTGCGATTTCATTAATACTTTAATATTATAAATGGATTAAATAAATTAAGCATTTCAAGAGTTATACTATTAAGGTGAGTGTTATGAAAATGTGAAAGAGAAAGTAGATCACTGTTCTTACGATGAATTCAATGGTCTGATGGAACTGTACGTTCAAGATTACCTAGATGTAAAAAATTTGATAACAATTAGACAGTACAAAAGAATTTATGCAATTATTGTTATAATGATTACGATTCTGCAAAATTTTATTTGGAACAAGTGAATAGTCACTGGATGAGAATTCAAAATATAGCATAAGAACTCGGGAAGTATTAGCAATTGAGCTTTAGTTTTAAAGTAATGATTAACATTGATTTTTTAGATTCAAGAATACCATCGTCAAAAATTTTAGGATAGGATCTTCTAAGACAATAAGATAAATATGGCATTAAGGGAAATATGCAGAATCTACAAATTCAATCAAACAATTGAACCTCACTTTTGTTCTCAAATATTTCAATACTTTAAACCAAAAATCACAACTCACCAAGATTTGATGACTAATTGGCTTACTTATAGTTAATGTGAATAAGGAGTGGACGAAATTAAAGATTTTGAAAAGCGATTAGAATGCGCGATGACAAATCTCCCTGATAATGAAAAATAATTACCAAAATTGCCTCCAAATTGGGAAAAAAACATGGCAAATTTAATGAAGAAGAAGAAGAAAAAATTATGATTTCTATAATTCATTCATTTAAATTTAATCAATAAATTTGTGATTGATGTTCTCATATATAGGTTTTTGTTAAAGATAATATTTATAAACAAAAAAAAGTCTATTAATAATTTCAAATTAAATTCATCTCTTAATTTTTATTTATAAACCTCCTAATTTAGTTATTTTTGATGACAAATACTATAAGTCATCCTCCTCTTAAAATAGATTAAAATCATCTTCACTTTCAGAAGATGACACTCCACTCAAACTTTCACCTGAAGATTCTCCATTTGAATCATCTGAGTTTTGACTTCCCTTTTGATTCTCTGTGTAAAATGAGCCAGCGATCTGTAAATTGAAAACCAATTAATACCTATTTAACGCTCTCTTGAACTATCAATCGTTCGTTATCTTCCTCCTCTCCATTCTATTATTCAGCTATTTATGGCAATATTTATTATTTTTATTTTTCAGTAATAATTGCTTGTTTTAATAAAATATATTGCCGCATAGACTTTCTCTTAGCTCTGGATAAGTTGATCTGTTATGGTAATATGCTGGAGCCTAAATAACTCAATCTAATCTATTAATTCTATCTAAAAGGATACATTTAAATTAGGTTTAATTGGAGATCCAATCTCATTTAATTAGAATTAGTTCTTTAGAAAAGAGGACTCTAAGCAATCTTAGGCAGAGGGGCGTTAGTCTTCTTCTAAAGATAACACTTTGCGTAAAAAGAATTAAGCATCTTTGCTTAGATTGATAAAGGAGGGCTTTTCAAAATCGATTTTCCCAGCAGTATTTTAATTTAAAATAGCACTAATAGTAGATCCTATAAATAATGGTTTTTATGTTAGTAATATATAAGCAACTACACCAGCACTAAATATGTCCACTTTTTCATTGTAGACCTTCAAATTCAATACTTCAGGGGCTATATAGCCTGGAGTGCCATATTTTTTAAATTCAAATTTAGGCAGCTTTTTTGCGGCTAAACCAAAATCAGCAATAATAATTGAACTTTAATCTTTTATCAATATATTCTCCAATTTTATATCTCTATGCATGATATTTAAGGAATGAATATAGCTCAATCCTAAAAAGATCTGTCTCATTATGTGACTGACTTTTTGTTCAGTAAAACGAGATTTTTTAGCTTTTATTTACTAAAATTCTTAAAATAATTCTCCCATTGCCCATTCGTAAATCAAATAAATGTTTTTAGAATCTTCATGAATTTCAAATAGTTTGATGACATTTGGATGATTGACTTGCCTCAAAAGTAAGATTTCACCTATCACAGAATCTTTGAGTTTTATCACCATCTACAAATCTGCTTTTTAAAAGGATTTGCATACAAACTGTCTCTTTTCGTCATTCTCTATCAAATACCCCTTAGATTAATAATAAATTTAATTATACTTTCGAATAGTTTCCATTACTAATTTAATTAATGAACTTAAATCTGTTATAAACTTCTCCTCTAATTATACAAAACCTGGTCAAATACTCTATCCATATGCGAGTTAGCTTTTCATTGGGTCCTTGATATTCTTTAGACTTATCCTGAGATCTAACGGTGAAATACTTATTCGTATATGTAATTATGTAAAGATTATTCAATAAGTAGCAATATTTAGTGTTGCTGGTTCCAAATTTGATCAAGTAGCCATTATTAGTCAAAGCATACTCACAATTCTTATTTTTTGTTCTGTTGAGTAATTATGATTTAATTAAATGTGTACTCTGAATGTTTCCAATAGTCCAGAAGGTAGTTGTTTTTAGTAATTATTATAAATTCTTACTAGTTGGTATATATAAGTAATCAATTTATTGTGATTATTATAACATTATATTATTATTATTTATTAAATTATAATGGGGATATGTACATCAAAAAAAAAAGTGGATGAGAACATTTAAATAGTACCCTACAAGTATATTAATGAATCATTGCTTTGTTAGGGTTTGCATAACTGCATTCATTTGGAATAAAGAAAGTCATAATTTATTCGATTTTGAGAGCAATTTGGCTGCTAAAAAGGAAATAGAATTAGATTTTTCAGGTAAGTGTTATTCAAAATAATTAGCAACTCTTTCAATGGTGGACAACTAAATTATCGCATTGACAGATAATGTATAAAATTCTCACTATTATAAAACAGGAATATGTAAATAAATAAATTCAATTGCTCAGAGTTGATTGCGAATAAAATTATATGATGTTGTCTGGGATGAGTCAAAAATCAGATCAAAGAGTATGGGCTATATTATGCAATAGACCTGATTTTGAATCATTGAATGTAATCATCAACTTAAATAAAGGAATGGGAACTCCAAAAGGGAGATATGATCAAATTAGGAAGAATGAAATTGCAGCTGCTGGAAATCAATTATGATATTGATGCTCTACAACAATCAAAAGAATAAGCAGAAGAGGATGATGAATAATAATCCAAAGATTTAGAACTTGAAGCAAGCCAATGCAGAATATGTTTCAGTAAGAGTGGTTCCTTCTCTAATCCTCTCTTTAGTCCTTGCAAATGTAACATTCACTATTATTTAGATCAGGTACCGGCTCAATGAAATATGTCCATCTTAATTGTCTATAAATTTGGATTCAGTAATCAATTAAAATTAAAAATCAGCATTCGTCAATACAATACATTTGGAAGAAAATGGAATGCGAAATTTGTAAGATGCAGCTTTAAAGCACTTACACATACTAGGGTCAAATATTTTGCATTATGTAAATACAAAAACCCGTTGTTCCATATATTGTCTGGAAAATAACATCAGATGGTAGATCTAAAGAAGGCACTATTCAAGTCATGGAATTGCTTGATAAATAAGAAATAAAAATTGGTAGAGTACCTGATTGTGATATCAAATTGAAAGATATTTCTGTTTCGAGAAGTCACGCTATCATTAAAGTTATTAAGTCAGAGGATAATAGATATAAATTACTTGTGTAGGATAATAATTCCAAATTTGGAACTTTATTACATGCATAATCAGAGAGATTACTTAGATATGAATTATAATACCCATAAAAAGTTCTCTATCAAATTGGCAGAGTTCTTCTTTATGTTTAATTAAAAGAAAAAGGCAAATCTTATAATAAATAGTACTCCTCATCTATATCTTAGATTTACTTGTTATAGGCATCCCAACTAAATTCTAGTTTTACCCAAAAAAAACATTAATGAATAAGCTACTATTGTTCCCAATCTTGAAAAAGATAAAGACAATTAACTATCATTCTAAACATATAATGAATTAAATCAGGATGACATAGTTATTAATGTCAAATAAATATGATCACCTGTTGACTATTATTATTTTTATAATTAAAATATTTGTCTGTTAATGATCCAACAATTAAACAAATGGGATTGTATCCTTGAACCAATTCTCAAAAATAATGTTTACATGTAAAATACTTATTAAATTCTAAGTGCAGGATTATATTTAGCTGACATTGATTGTGCATTAAGCTTAGATCTTTTACAATCCTTGTAAATTGGAGCTTTATTAAGCGTCATTGATGAACCAAAAGTAGATGCCTCAGCTTATATTATACATGAAGTAATTAATATTCCAGATTGCACCTAATAAAATATTTAAGAATATTTTCCTTAAACAAATCAATTTATCGAATAACATAGATAACATACCAATGTTATGGTGCATTGTTTTGCTGGCATCTCTAGAAGTGCATCTGTGATTATAGCTTATTTAATGTTTAAATTCTAATGGGGATTTTAAACAGCATTAAATTATGTCGTTTCAAAAAGACCTTAAGTTAAACCTAACTTTGGTTTTATCTAGTAATTAATCTAATACGATAAACAAAATAAAACAAGATAGTCTTCATAGCAGCATCAACATCAAGGGTCTAATCCCAATAAAAATGAAAAAAACTTATCTCAATCTGATAGCAAAAGCAACAGATAATAAGTACACTCAAAACTGGATTTAAATTAATTAGATGCTGAAATAGCTCAAAGATAGTAGGAGTTATAACTTCTTAAACTTCAATATTAATAATTGAATGAGAAAATTATTAGTAGAAATACAAAAAATAAGTAATCTTAAGAGTGATATATTTATCTATCACTTTGATTTATTCATTTCCAAAATATCTATTTTTATATGTCGTATTTAATAATGAGGATATGATTAAACCATTATGGTATAAGTATGGGTTAAGTAGATTAAAATACCATTTGTTATATTTTTATTCACTTTTATCAAAATATATTATGTGTTTTATTAAAAAATTAATATAATCCAAGATCCTTAATTTTAATTTTCTTGGAGTGACTTATATAATTAGTTTGTCTTAAAAATTTTTGAGATTTTGTATTTTTTATGATTATTAATTGTAATCTATTAATTATATTCTATCTTCACCCTAAAAAATTGATATTATATATGGTTTTATTTTTTTTCTCTGTTTATGAAAAATAATGATTTAACTTTAGATCTCATTTGAATTTCATCCAAATTTTCTTTATTTCCTTATTAATTTAGTTAAATCGATAATAACACTTTCATTAGATACTCGCAATTTTTTTAAACTAATTTTTTTGTGGATCTTCACTTACTCGAGATTATTTTAGAAAGCATTTTGCTTTTATTTATTTAAATATTAAATTATCTATCAATATTCATCTTTAAAGTCAGTTGTTATAATTGTTTTTAACTAATGAAATGAAATATTTATATATCTAAGTCTCTCTTTATTTATTTCAACAGATTATTAGATAATTAGCTATGCTTTAATTGAATATTATTTCATTACTGTATAATTTAATAAATCTGTTACATTAGCTAAATGGTATTAATCTTTAAGGAAGCTGATAATTATCAAGCAAATTTATTGAAGAATAAAATTTTTTCCAATTTAACAAATTTTGCTAACATAGTGGCATAATCACCCTTAATTAATTATTATGTAGTAATCTATTTTCCGATTATAGTACTTTAATTTATTATTCTTTGATCTTTATCTTGTTTCCTAATTCTTTGTTTTATATTCATAAATCTTTTATGGTTATCTTTAGATAATAAATTTTAATTCTTAGTATAAAATCCTATTACTCTCATATTTTACATTTCTTAAAATTCCTTGCCATAGTATTTGCAAATGTATCTCCTAAATTGAATTTACAAACTACTACGTCTACTTTTTTCTCTAGAAGAATCATCTCATTTTGAAGAAAAGAATTGTTTACTCCTCATCATTAATCTTGAATGGTCTTAATATTCTATTATAATATTGTGCTGGATACTGAGGATTTGGTTCATATGCATAAATTAATCAATCTGTTATGTTGTTATTATAATGATCTATAATTTTGTTTACATTTCGATCTAATCGGTAATCCATTATTTAAATTCAAAATTATAATAAATCAGGTTAACTTTTTTTTCTTAATTTCTTACGAATCAGTCATTTTCAAATCTGGATCGCCATTTTGGATATCCTAAAATGTGTCTTTCTCCTCTAGTGATTGTTATTCACCATCTTAGAGTTCCTACTATTCTATTCCGTCTGTCTCTCTATTTTTCAATTCATTTTTGTTTTAATTATTTACATTCTCTGTTTGATTATTATCCTTTATAAAATTGACTGATTCTTATTAATGTTTATTGTGGACTTCATTTAATTGACTGGTTGGTACATCATTATTCAAATTTATTTGTGGTTGCTCTTCTGAATTATCTTCTTCATTCTAATTGACATCAAATGGAGAATAGATTTGTTAGAGAAGAATCTTTTGGTTTCGATTTTATTTAGTAATGAGAGCATAGAAATGATCAATTTCTAGCTTACTTAATGCAATTTCAACTTATTACAAAACATCTAAATAAATCTAAAATATTCCAATAATTTACATCAATATTAATATACCCATTTGTATATGTTTCTGGATATTTCTTTATTAATATATCTGAAATTTCATTTTTTTTTTTCATAATTTACGAATTGATGCTATTTAATTGTTGTTGTGTTAATATTTAGTAGTTTTCCATAAGTGTTTTAAAAATACTTTTTACTCTAGCACTAGTAGTTGTTTCAGTTTCATTATCAACATCGGCTAAATAGATGGCCGCCATTTCAATTTATTCAAGTGATTAGAGACCAAAGATTCTATTGGACAAATTTTATTTGAGTTCATGTTGGGTTAAATTTTCATGAGTTAAGAGATACTATTCAACTTCTTACAAGGAGATTTTTAATCCAATAAGATTCAATTTTACATGTCTAGCTATAGTCATAATGTCATTTTTATCAACATTGATAATTTTCTTCTTCTGCAATTCATTTTCCTCCTGTTACTAAACTTATTCTTCTGGCTATTAGGGTCCATTATTCTTTATTAGTATAGTTCTTTTAGATTGATACTTTTATGATTTCTCTAAGTCATATTCTTTTTACAGGGCTTCATACTGTCTCTCTTGGTCAGATAATTTTTTTTCGAGATTTTCAATTTATTCTTGATTTTCAGCTTGAATCTTTTACATCATATTTTCTAAGTATTTGTTTTTTCTACCTTTCATTTCTAAGATCGACAAGAGCTTGGTCAAAATCCAACTACAACTGTTCTTCTACCTTTTTATTATCCTTTTATTACGGTCTTTCGAGATACAAAGTATCCTTTTTCTTTAATTCTGCTATCTCCAAAAGTAATTAGCCATTTAGGTTTTTCAATTATTTATACTTATTTAATATTGCATTATATTTGATATTCATCTTATTGTAATTAAATCTAAATTTAATTTACTTAAATACTTAGGTTTGATCTGCTGATTATTAATGCTGTTAAATCAATTGATTGAGCTTCATATTATCCTCACTTAGTGTCATGCATAGATTTTCAACATTGCTTTTATTAAAGGGATTTTATAGTTATTAAATATATTATTGCTATTCCTCTAACTATTATTATAATCTAATATTATCATCCTAAAATGAGATAGTATTAAAATACTTCAAGTCGAGTGATTTTTTCCAGGTAGCCTTGTTTTAACTTAGAGAAGCTTTTTGGGGGTGTGTCTTCATCTTTCGAGATTGATTGCAATTCTCTCTTAAAATATTAAATTTATGATTAGAACTATTTCAATGTTAATTTCAATTGGTTGTTCTCTTATTTCAAATTCTGAATTTCTTCTTATAAACTTTCCTTATCATGCATAATATATTTGACTCTCAATTTATTTGCATCAACATTGTCCAGTGTTAAGTTTCTGGAATACAAGTTTTTTCTATGTAAATGCTTTTGCGAATGCACTTATAAAGATTTTTAGGTATTAGAAATAGATAGCATCTTTTTTATAATTAATAATAAAATGCAAACATTATTATAAACTTTTCAACAGAAATTATCCTTATCTTTTTCAGTTGTTAAAGAATCTACTCCTTAAATTTTGTTTGGCATAAGTCTCCTATCTTGTTTATACCTTTTAAATTAATAATAAAAAGAAGAAAAACAAATTGAACCTGAAAAGACCGAAATAAAATAAAAAAAAAAAGCATCCAGCCAAAAAAGTCTGGATCATAATAAGCCTCAATTAAATGATGTGATACAAGATCTGGTATGAATAGTTTAATTTAAAAGAAAAAAAGCTAAAAGAAATTAAACAAAAAAATGAACAAGCAATTTGATGATTCAATTGACTACACAGAAGAAAACATACCCAAATCACCTGATTACAGTGTGATTTCAGAAATAGATCAGAAATATTTCTTAGAGATGTTTCAAAATTAAAAAAAATCGAAAAGGGCCTACTAAACGGATTGCGAATCATCACCTATTATATCATTAAGAGGGTATGTTTTATAAAAGAGATTTTAGATTTAGAAGAAATTAATAATTAATAGGAGAAGAAGATAAAAAAGGAGAAGATAGATTGTTTTATATTCTGAAATAGCGTGTCATTGAATAAGAAGAAAAGGAAAACGAAATTGATGAAGATGATTATTGATTTAATTAATCAATTATTATGATTAAAATAAAATTATTAAAATACAATCATTTTCTCAGGGAATTCTCCACCCGATTACATGTCTCATTTAATAATCTGATCATTGTTCTTTCAGTCTCATCTCTTTATAACTGTTCCTCAGCCAATTATAAGTTTAGAATATTATTAATCTCCTAAATCATCACCTCCATTTGGTTTTAAGAATCTGATCGTTACTTCTTTTCTTAATTCAAAGTTTCAGATACTGAAAATACCTGCTCTCCCATTCTTCTTACGAACTCTTAATAAATCATTTCTCTAACAATTTTAATGTAATGATACCTTTCTCTCTTCTCATTCCTTACATCCTAACTTAGATTTTGAATTTTATGCTCAATCTCAATTTAGTATTGCTCTTCTGTCTCTTTCCTATACTGTTGTTATCTGGCCAATTCTAATCTCATTTTGTAAGATTGTTCGTCCAACAATTTCGTTAATCTCATTTCAAATGTCTTACGATGAAGTTTATCTTTTTAAATACTCTATTGCACATTCTTCTCTTGCTCTTTTAGAGCAGTTTAATGAAAGTTTTTAGAATTAGTCTATTAATAAATTTTATTTTATTTTACATTTCTGATAATTTAATCATTTCTTAACGTTTCTTCCATTTTAGTTAATTGCTCTTATAATGATTGTAGTCTACTGAGATCGTTTTAATGGGCTTTTTGAACCTTTTAATTTATTGAATTCAATTTTTCTTCATAGGTTTCCTTTTTTAATGTTCTATCCTCATCAATTGATAATTAAGATAGTTTCTCACTTAATTGGATGACTCGAGATTTATTAGGAGACACTAATTATAAGTTTTTAGTATACCTGAAGTTCCATAAATCAAAGACATCATCATAGATGAACTTCTTTGTTTTTAAGTATTAGGGGATGAATATATTGAGCTATTTAACATATAATTAATAAAATATAAAAAATAAAATGAACAGAACTCCTCATATGGATTAATTGATTTCCAAAATCTATAGATAACGTAAAAATGTAAGTCTAATATGTTAACAAAAAGTAAACTCCAAATGATTATTCTAGAGAGATGTACTCTCATCCCAATAGCCATCAAACATCTAACAAAGATCTTTTGAATTTGACTAGCAAATAAAAATTAAATAAATCATGTAACTACAATTCAAATTTACATCAACGACTCCAATCCAAAGCAGGAGGAGATATAAAATAAAAATTATTAGATGAAAGTAAATGTATGTAATTACTTTCACAGTTTTAAGAGGATCACATTCTAACATCTCTACTAGTTATTTAATTAGTACTCTAAAAGAAAAAGTTAGCGAAAAGGTCAATTAAAAAGTTTAAAAATACAACACTTGTTAAGAAGCTTCATCATTCACACTCCCTGAAAAAGAGCTATCCCCAAAACCTATGTTTAAGATTCTAGAAAACTCACTCTTTGCTGAATGCTAAAACCTCAAAAACCAAGTTTCACTTCATTCCTTTCAAGAACTACTTGATAAAATGGAAATAAAAGAGCAATCCCTAAAAATCTCAATTTTTGCAGATTTAAAAAAGCTTTTCATTATTTTAGCACAAACTATTCGAAATGATGTTCAAACATAAAAGAAGGAAATTGAATCTCTAGTCAGATAAAATAATTCTTTGAAATCGCAAATCCAAGAAATGAATTTTTAGTTGGATAAATTCAAATCTGTTATTGAAGATTAACAGAAATAAATCAAAATAAAAAATGAAGAAAACTTTATTTCAATCATGAATACACTTCGATCACATGGAGTTGATCCTCGAAAAATGTTGAAAAAATGTTAAGATAATGTTGAAACTTGTAAACTAAAATAAGATCAATCCGAATTCATGGATGAATCTTAAAAATATAGCTCTGATGATTCATTTCCATTTGGTAATTATCATTAAATATGTTAGTTGATCCTCAAACCATAATAAAAAATGAAAAAAAAGTAGTAGGACTAGCTTTAAATTTGAATCCATTAAAAGATCCTAAAAAAGCTCCGATTGGTTACTAAGATGAATTTATGGCTAATATTAATGAATTCAGCGAAAGTTGGAGACAATAGGCATTAGCTGAAAAAAGATTTTGACTTTTTAATTGAATAATTATTTATATTGATTATGTAGTAATTTTTCTAATAATAAGATTAATAAATCAATATAATTAAATTAAAAGTGAATATTTCTGATTATATTAAATTTCTTCACAGAATACATCAATTTAAATGCGACAATGATTATCCATATAAAATTCAATATAATTAAAATCAAAAAGTTTCAAAAAGAAATCTCATGTTGCAAAACAAACCCTCACAAGATGCATTTGATGAAGTCCAAGGATCATTTCAGATGGATGATCAATTTAATGTATAGGAAGGATATAGAAATTCCATTGATGAAATTCCTGCTAATTAACTTAGGTAGCTATTTATTGATAATTAATAGTGGTGATGAAGCATTAGAAAAGAGTTTTATGTAATCAACAGGCCAATCATCAATCTGGTAAAAAAGGGGATAGAAAACATCAATCCCAATGACATCAGTGATTATAATGAAGAGTATGGTGGGAGTAGGAATTTTAGGAATAGTATTTTTTTAAAAATAACCTAGCCTTATGTAGCATCAAACTTTGGAGCTATTTTGACAATTCTAATTTTGATGGTAATATTCATTAATGGAATCCTCTCATCAAATTTATTATTAAAATCTAAGAATTTATCCAAAAGAAGTAATTTTTCAACAATTGGATTTTATATCTTCAAGCATAAATGGATTATCATATTAGTGAATGTGATGATTATTTTATCAAATTTGGGAGTATGTTTAAGTGAATTAATGTAAATTAAATTATATATTTAGTATTTTTGGAGATACAGTGGGCAATCTTATGAATTATTTTACTGATAGAACTACAGAAGAATAACCTTTCTATTTAACAAGACCGATTTTTTTAATAGTGCTAAGCATATTCTTACTTCCTTTTTTGCTTGTTAAGTCAATAGAGAAGTTGAGATTTGTTAGTTTATTTGCTATTTTATCAATCAGTTCTTTTTCATGTCTTGTCATCTATAATTTTTTTACGATTGATAAAACCAATAGTCAATTTTCATGGTGGATTCCAGATAATTTTGAAATAAAAAGAGCCTTAGCATCTATGCCAACATTAATATTAGCATTTAATTGGCAATTTAATTTATTTCCTATTTACAAAGGAATGGCAAAACCAAGTGATTCAAATTTACTCACTTCAACAATTTTAGGATTTTGTTAGGGTTCTATTTTATATTTAATAGTTGGATTGTTAGGATATGCAACCTATGGGAAAAATGTAACAAAATTAATATTATAATATTTAGATTGAACCAAATTTTTTATTAAGTATTAAAGAATAAGATGTTGGTGCTGTTTTATTTGTTATTTTGAATTTATCCTTTGTATTTTCTACAACCCTTACATTACCAGTCATATTTTTTGGTGGAAGAAATAATTTTATATAAATGATTAAATAATTTACTGTAATGACTAATATATATAATTATAGGAAAATAAAAAAGTTAATATTTTGGCCAAAAAGAAATTACTAGATTCGTCATAAAATGAGTAGTATTACAAAGAACTTTTGTAATTTCGAAAAAAATCTTAAGCCATAAGATTCTATGGAATCAGCATTTCGCTATTCATATTATTAGCGATTGGAGCAGTTTTTATACAAAATTTAGGAACTGTCTATAATTTATTAGGAGCTATAGCTTGTAATGCAATTTAATTGGGATTACCTACTTTGTTTTATGTATTCTTGGTTAAGCAAGTGAAAAAAATGAAATTCCGTAATAATTTGAATAGATTATTCTATTTTTTTGTATGCGGTTTATTATGCGTAAGCATAATTCTGACATTCTTATGTGTAACCTGTGAATTTATTCAACCAGAAAAGGCTTGAATTTATTGATAATCGATATTTTTGTAACTATTTTATAAATCATCAATAATTATTATTTGAATAATATATAAAATAAATTATGGATTAATAAAATTCAGCCAATCCAGAAGAGAATTCTTTATAGGCAAGAAATAGAAGGAGGAGAAATGATTCCAATAATCGAGATTTTACTTGCGGATGTGGTAAAAGCTATCTAAGTTATGCTGCTTTATATACTCATTTGAAGTATGGAACTATATATAACTGAAAGATAGAAACATGATTCAGTAGCTCCGGATGGAACTCAATTGCCAAATAATGCAAATTAACGACCTGGTAGAGGAAGACCAAGAAGAGTAAATTTATCACAATATACTATGAGCAAGAAGATTAAGATAGAAAAAGCGCTAAGTCGGATGATGGATAATCTGAGAGTGGCAACGAGCCAGACGAGACTCTCGAAGGACTTCTAACATTCTTAGATAGTCTAGGGAATTTTAGATAAACAGAAAAATTTTCAAATGATGTAGAAGTATAGGAGTTCCTGCTTAAACATTTTCCTTCCAATAATGTCTTTTCAAATTGTTCTGAATATTAGGGAATCTATGATTTATTAAAAGATCTAACAGATGAGAAAGTAGATAATGTTTCTAATTTAAGATTAAACTTCAAGATACTGATCTTCTTGCTAATGAACCATTTGATAAAGATAAATCCTTACGTAAAACCAACGTAGCTAAAATTTTGGCATATTTTTTAACTCAAATAGGTCCAAAGTTATGTGTTGAAGCATATAAAGAAGTAATTTAAATACAATACATAAATAGATGGCTATATTCATAATTTTCTATTAAAAATGTTTGAATACTTTTGGTTATTAGGCAAAAGAGAACTATCTTTAAGATTAAAAAAATGGAGATCATAAACAGTTGGACATCAAAGAAGGTTGTAATTCTAAAATATTAATTAGAGGTTATTCAAAATTAGGAGTTTTGCGATGTTTAAAATGGTGAATACATGCTATTGATTGCTAACGAATTTATATTGTCATTTTTACCTTCATCCTATATGGGATTAGAGACTATTGAAAAGAATTTCAAAATATTTGGTAGTAGTGCTGAAAAATTAAAAAATGCTGTGTATGTTACTTAGCATTTCTCGTATTGGTTATATTCTTTAAAGTTTACAAATTCTAGATTAGATTTTTATACTGAGGATGATTGATCATTTTTAATTATAAATGTGTGTTGAAATATATAGACATAAATTATTAATTAAATATTAAAATGAGTGAGTTGGAATATGTGAATCTTGAAAAACAATCAAAAGGAAATAAAAACAGAAATAATAATTAATTCAATAGAAGAGGAAGAAGAGGAGATAGAAACTTTTCAAACAGAGGAACTAGACCTGTATGGAAATAAAGATAAATACAATCAAGATAATAATAATAGCAAGTACATCTTTTTGAAAACATTACAGGGATAATAAAGATAAAATAGATTCAGAAGAATACCAACTGGCTAAGCTCGAAGATAAAGAATAAATCGAATCTAAAATAGACCTAGATAATAGTAAAGGGAAAGAGAAAGAGGAAGAGATAGAGTGAGAGATAGAGAAAGAGATAGAGATGAAGAAAGAGATAGAGTTAGAAATAGAGAAGAATAGAGATATAATAATAGAGATAGAGATGATGATAGAGATAGAGAAGTTAACTCTAAAGGACCTAGACCCAATGTAATTGTCAGAGGTTTAGATCCACATCAAACGGAGACCGGACTTAGAGTAAAAATCTTAATTCGATTATTTTTAGGAATTTTGTTCCTAATATGGACCTATGGAGATGTGCAAACTCGAGAGAGACAATTTTGGAAATGTCAAGGTACATAATCTAATTATTTAAAATAGCCTGAAGGAATTGGTTTGATTAGATTTTTTAAATAAGATAATGCTGAATTATTTGTTTCAAAAGTTGATGGTGAGGTAGTCAATGTCAATGGAGATGATAAAAGCGTAAATATTTAATGTAATTGGTAGTTGAGAAGACTGTCTGCTAAATTAGTTGGGCAGAACAATAAAAATAATACTGATAGATAAACTAGTGGAATTCTTAAGATAAGCAGAGGTCCTATTCAAAAGTAATTATGTTCTAACATTATTAGATCATGGAGAAGATGAAAGGTGATATATGAATTAATAATATTAAAAACAAATCCTAAATATTTAGCATTAACTTTGGTAAATAGCTTTATGGATTAGTCTCTTATAAGGATGTATTGTATTTAGATAATAATAAACATACTCTTTAGACTTCATCTATAAACTACTATCTTCACATATATTATCTATAATTATACACAGTTACGATACGAATAATATGAATACAATCATTTAATTTATTGCATTACTTTTAGGACATCTACCTTTGATTTAGGTTCTCTGATTTTCTTTGGTTCTTGCAAACAATATTTGATCATAAAATATTTTAATGGATCAATCACTATTAAATCTAAAAGTAAACTAGGTAGATATTCAATAAACCATTATAAATTATCAAAACTTAGAAACATAATGAACCAAATTATTATTCCTATGCTAGATATCCAAAAAACTATTTAAACATATTTTAACTTTTGATGATGACGAACAATACCTTTGATTGCATGATAATCAGTTATCTTCAATATCAAACAAGTGCTTGTTGTTATTGCAATAATGATCCAAAAATTGAGATTTGGAAGATAATGTAAAAGCACTCCTGACACATCCAAACAAATTAATTATCGAAAATATATTGTAAAGATCATAAAAATTCTTGAAATCCCCTCTTTATGCGAATAAAATATTTTACTAAATTAATGACATTTCTATTTTTATTTCAATTTATACATAAATATCATTTTCTGGTTTTGGTATCATATAATTTGGATCTTATTATATCGGTTCAAGCTTACCAAGAATGCTAAACTGGGAAATTCTTGTTTAATTTTATAATTATTTTTGATTTGTTGATCTGGGAGTAGAATCACCAACACTACTTCTATCATTTTGAATTTATGATAATCCTCTTCGAGAAGTTCTTAAACTTTTCCTATTCGTAGTCTATATAGTATCTATTCCCTCATATGTACCAATTGTTGGTTTTCTCAAAATAGTTCTTCTTAACGTATTCGATCTTTAGGGTGTTCTATTCGTTCTGGGAGATTACATCTGTTTTGATTCTACTGTTAAACGAACTGGAGAAGTTTATTCTGTGATATTTCTCTCCACGTTGCTATAATATTAATCATCTTATATCTAGTTTGGTGAATTATCTACTGGATTATTAAAAAAATCATCTAGTTCATTGTTTTCAAGCCTAGTTATTTGCTATGTTCTAGTATGATTTTATATTTTTGATGTAATTGGTTGAATTGCAAAAGTTGTTTCAGCTCTTGCTTTGTTGTTAATTTAAGGAGATATTGAAGCTAATCTATATGATTTATCTATTAGATATCCAATCAATATCATCACAAGAATGAACAAGGTCCATGATGCCAAATACACTAAAATTATAAAGTTAGTAATCATCACAATATATTATATATAATATTTACATTATATCTTGGTTGAAAGCAATGAAAAATAGCTTTATTTTTTTATATGAGTAAATGAAAAATGTGAAACTTATTTTAATTTATAAAATCCTAAGTCATTTCTAAATACTTCTATTGTAGAATAATTTTTTCAATTATATTGAATAATGATATTGTTTACTTTACTTTTGCAATAAATACAGACTTACTTACATATAAATAAAAGTAAATGTTTCTTTAACATTTTTTTCTTTGTTTGTTTCTCGTAAATGAAGTAAATTACTTAATTTTTAGATATAATAGATTTATTATGAAGAATAATTTAAAAATATTACTCTTTTTGAAAAGAAATAAATATATGATTTAAATCTTATTATCATATAAAACTAGAATTCAATAGATTCTTATGAAAATATTGTGTCTTATTTATAAAATTAAATTTTGTCATAATATATATTATAACTCTATCTCTTGTAGTTTTATTGTCATTTATCCCGAGCCATGCATAAAAATAGACTAGCTATTCTTTAAAAGACATTTCTATCATCGCTGTGAATCTATGGAGCAGCTTATTATGGATGATAACTAGCTTATGTTTCATCAGAATATGAATTTGAAATTTCTTCAATCTTTAGGTTGTTCAAGAAACTCTTTAGTAATGAAAGGATGTGTAATTATCTCATTTACTGTTATTCTATCATTAGGTTCGATAACAAGCATCTTCTTAATTAAATCTTTGGCATAGATATCAGTAATAGTGAACTTGGGTTCAGTAAAATTGAGGATTTACTCAATCATCTCAGCCTCATTGCCTATCGAATTATGCAGATTTCAAATACCTGATATAATAGGCTTTTTTTCAAGCATCCAATATAAGAGACAACCTAAACTCCAAATGTCTACAGAAAATGATTATGGATAATTTCTTAATATTTCAGGTGCCATAAATTCATAAGTACCAGAAAAGTTACTTATGACATTCTTATGAGTAGCTAAACCAAAATCACATAATTTAACATTATTATTGCCACTTAACAATACATTTGTTGGTTTAATGTCTCTATGAATAATTCCTTTGTTATGAAGGTATTGTAATGCATTACATAATTGAACTATTATTTGTTTTGGATCTACCTACATATTAGTTGTTAAATGACCATTTTCTAAATAGGAAATTTAATCAATACGTGCATATTCTAAGATCAAATAAATATGATCATCTTTCTCTATAAATTATAATAACTAAATAATGTGTTTGTGCTTTAGTTATTTATGTATTTTAAGTTCCCTGTATGCCAGATTTTTATTTATTTTTTTTATCGCAAAATTATATCCATTCAGTTATTTTAAGTATACTATTCCAAAACTTCCATTCCCTATTAGACTCATTTCACCATCCAGTTAACTTACAGTTAATTTGGGAGTTATTTCAAATGACTCATGACAAACCAATTAATGATGCCCCTCCCTATGATTAATGAAATAACTAAATACCAATCGAAATCTCTACATTTGATTGAACAATAAAATACATTGGAACAATTGTCACAAGTTATTTAAGTGCCATTTATTATAGAATTGTATTGTATCTGCTCATTGCATTTCGAGTTTTAGCAATTCATTTATGGGTTTCAGAAATGGAAAATTTATTAAACTAAAATAACAAATACATTTTATTTGTATTATATGTGTGTATTAACATAAAATCAATTATAGCTATAAGGTACAACAATCTCTTCTTACTAAATACTTAGTCTAAATAGTTTTTACATGATGCAAGGGAACCAAATCAATCCAATCAGCACTATTCAATGGAAGTAAGCCGATGTTGTATAGTTTATAAAGCACAACTCCCAATTGCAATAATCCAGCTGATAAATAAATCAATTTGTAGAAAAACAGTGATATTCCTCTATTCTCTAATAATGAAAATGCTTGATCCATTTTTGCAATTGTGGAAATAGCTTACCATAAAAATTACCCAATGATCACAATCGTAAATATATTCATCATATTTCCTGTCATATACAAAGTGAACATTATCATAAATATGTTTCCAAATCCTCCTTTAGCAATACCCATAGCTTTCTAAATGCTTATGGTAATAAAATTACCTTCTCTAAATCATCCCTCAACTCTTGTCCTTAGCAATCATCAAATGCTTTTTTATAACCAACTGGATCAGGCAAACTGTTCTCCTTCTTAATTTTGATTTCCCACATATAAAATATATATAATGATTAATATAAAAATTATTTTCATCGCAATTTTGATTATCCAATTTCGACTTTATAGAGTTCTTTGTAAATTTCTGAAATTGATTTATCAAGAGTAGAAATTAAATGACCAGAACCTGAATGAACAACAGGAGCCTAATATATTAATATGTTTCTACTTTAATATTTCTTTCTTTAATTACATTGCATTTCTTTAAGATTTATTTTGAAGTTTCAACGGGATTGAATGTCTCTGTTTCATTGCCTTGTTTAGGTTAAGTTCCATTATCTTCTTATTTAATTTAGTTTTCATATGATATTGTCTTTTATCTGTCTTGAGATGTCGGAGGTTTTCTTCTACTATCTTCTTGTGTATGAACCTAAGGAAGTGAACGTGCATGTTCCATTAAAGTTACTTAGTATTTTTATATGTATTTACATGGTAAATTATTGTACATAGTTTGTGCTGCCTAAAAATGGGTTTTATTATGCAATGACGGTAGTAAATTCTTTGCTATCAATCTTGATAAATATGCCTTTCTTTCTAGAGAAGACATTCCTTCTGAAAAATGTTCTAAATTTAGAATCTTTTTATGATCAAGTTTCATGTTCTCCACCTGAGATTGAGTGTGATCTTTCAAAAATTACTCAATTCTTGCTAAAGCAGTTTTATCTCTATATCTAAAAACATCTCTTTTTATGTCCTTTGAGGGGTCTCTTTCTCTGAAACAATATTTCCCTGCTTTTAAATTTGGTAAGAAATCCAAATTATTATTTTTCTCTTGGGCTTCTTGAATTCTATCTTTTTCATGCTTAAATCCTTTAACATAGATTTGTGGATCTCCAAGATTTCTTGTTGGATCTTCATCTCTAAATTAGTATGCCTCAGGTGGCTTATACTCATTGCATACAACTGGCTTTTCTAACATATTTATCACAAAATTTTCTATTCTTTTCTTATAATTTTTCGATAATCTTTGGTTTAGTTCTAATTAAACATTGGAATTACCTTTGCGATTTTCCCTTTATTTCAAGTAATCTGTTTTGATTTTATCTATTTCTTTTGTAAATGCCAATTATTTATCATACTGATAACCATTAAACATAATGAACTTAATTTTACACTCCTTTTATAATAAATTATATTTATATAATACACGCTAGTAGTTATTTGTATAATTTTTAGATATCAAAATTCAATATTAAATACGATGAAATTTTATCACCCACTGAAGGTCTTCTATTATATTAAATAACTCAGGATCTTATAGTATTAAATGTATTTTAAAATATGATTAGTATTAATTATATCTGGATTTCATTATTAATTCTTTTAAAGAACTTCCCATCACCCTGTCCCCCAATGAATAGAATATATAATACCAAAATTGTGCATCAAAAATAATATAAACTATATATAATTGAATCCTATTATTTTTTTAGGAGGAATCTACCAGTTGAGGTTCAAGACCTAGAAATTCTGAAAATAGTAAATTCATATCAAAATACTTAGATTCTAATATACTTTATGCATTTTTGTATTTAAAATAAATAAATAAAATTTCTCTGAATTGACTGAAGATTAAGAAATTGTTTTGAATACTTTGGGTAATTGTTCTTTTACCTAACTAATTTAATTTTTGATGCATTAAAATACTCAACTCAAAATAATAAAATGAAAAAAAGAGAAACAGACTCAATAATTTTTAGAAATATATAAAAAAAGAAACAAAATTACTAATGTGGATGCCATGCTCTCTAAGCTAGCAACTCAAAAAGTTCGTTTAAAAGCTTTTCTACTAAGTTTCCTTATATTATTGAATAAAATAATGAAAAAAATGATAAATAGAATGACAGTCTTTTCGAATTTACATTAAAATTTCTGAATGGAATAATTGAGTCAAGATCAAGAGTATAAGACTTCAAAAAGAATTTCAGGTAGCTTCCAACAAAAAAAGATATTTTGCTCGATCATTGTAATTAATTAATTGAGATATTTTAATTTCAATAATTGTGTTTTGTATATAAAAATAATTCAAGATTAAAGAAGACATTTACTTCTTCCATCAACATCTTAATGAGACACAAAAACTAATTTTAGTTGAAGAATGGAAAAACTTAGAGTATTTATTCGACTGAATCAACAATTCAAACACCTTCAAGATAGTTGTCACCTAAATCACCATAGATTTGGACCTCATCTGCTTTATCATACTCAAGTATTCTTCATCAAATTATTTAATAGATCTGCCTATATAATCTGATGCACAATATCAAGCGAAAATTAAGGAGCTTTTGGAAGAAAATTAAAAGTTGGTTCAGAAAAGCTCTGCTCAAGATTTAATCATTAATAAATTGTAGCAGATGGGGGAATAGGAACCGATACGATCAAGCAGAGTTAATACTTTAAATAATGCTCGATATAATGACAAGAAATAAATGATGAAAATTTAAAAACCTATTTACACTAGAGAAAGAGAGAGCAAAGATGATAAAATGCTATTTACTTTCTTCAGTCCAGAACCAAATTAGAAAACTAGTGTATGTAAACTTCCAAAAGTGTTTTAAGTGATGCCTAAAAAAAGAAAATATTTTATCTGACTCTCTGTTATTATTTGATAACATCAATAATTTAATTTTAATATTTTAATATGGTTTTTAAGATAAGGATTTATTATCTGTCAAGTTTATGGCATGTATATTCTAAATAAACAGTAGGGAAAGATACTCGAAAATTTAGATAATTTTTAATTATATTTTGAAAGTTGATTTGCGTTTTATTTGATATATTTTATAATTAATTCTTATTAGTCTCGATTATTGTTGATGAATTCGACATCCGTAGGAACAAGAATGTGGAGTAATAGAAAATCCATGTCTAATTTGACTATTAATAAACTGTTACTCCCTACCAATTAAAAAAGTCGGGAAAAAAATTGCAATTCAAACAATCAATAAATTTCTGATTAACTAATTGAAGAGAATATGTTTTTTCTTCCAAAGCGAACCTTGAGGAGAGTCAAACACTCAGACTAAAATAGTATCTCTAACTCAATATATATATAGTTTTAACTACATCCGTAACAAGCAAATCACTCTAATCCTAAATGATTAATAAATACTTTCAAGAAAGTCTTCAATTTCGCTAATAATAATCTCGAAAAGAAATAGTAATTAAAGAATTAGTGTCTCCATCTAAACCATTTATCTTCAAAAGAAAAGAAACTGCTCTAAACACAGAACCTTGTTCAGAAATATAATAGTAAAAATTAATGCCATTGTTGAAATCATCCATTAATTATGATGATTAATATAAGTTTACGTTCTATAGTCCAAAAACTCAAGATCATAAACTTAGATTACCAAAGGAATTTCAGATATTACCTTGTAGTAAAAAGCGATACTTCATCTGAGCAATAAAATGATACTTAAATTATTTTATATTAATATTTTTTATTAACATCTTTCTATGTCTGCAAAAAAAATAAAGTCGCCTAGTCACAAGTGTTTCCCCACAACTAGAGGGCATGAAATAAAAATTATATCCAAAATAGATTGTTTCATCAATTCAAATGCTAAAATGACATAAGTATTCAATCATAAGGGTTATTAGGTAATAGAGTTGTAAACAATAAGTAGAGCATCAAACAGATTTAAATTAAAACAAAACTGTTTCAATAAAAGCTCAAAATAAAAATTCTTAAAATGCAGACAAAGAGGCTTTAATCAATTAGTTGTTATTAAAAAACTTAAAATTAAAAGAGGAAGGTGATAAAAAAAACAAACTCATAGAAATGCTCATTGATGATAGAACAGAAATCAAAAGAGTTACAAGTTTACATCTTCCTTAAGATAAGGATAATTAACAATCAAAATCTAATTTTAGGTTATAAAGTCCCAATCATATGGAATTTACTTTTTATAAAAGTCCTAATAAAGGCTTGCCAAAAGAATTTTAAATTACTCCCTCAAAGAAAATGTTCTTCTGATAGAATATTAAAAACAGATTTTTTGATCATATATTTGTTCTAATATAATTTTTTATAGCGTGTAATCAATCTACATTAAGCTTAATATCATAATCTTGTGTGCTAAATATTTTAATAATACTGATAAAATCAATGTTATTAAAATAATTATATTCATATCGTTATTATAAAATGCTTTTAATAATTTGCACAAAAGCTTAATAAATTTATCAAAAATTAAACTCAAATATTAATAAACCTAGAAAATTTAAGCTCAAGTAAATATTCACTAGTAAATATAATGGACAAAGATTAAGAGACTAATAATTTGGCTAGTACTCCTAAAAATACTACATAATCTCCTTTAGATTATAAAGTAGAAGAAACAGACTCATTTTGGAATTACAATCTTCGACAAAAAGGAAATCTTAATTTATAAAGGATATTTGATTATAACCCCAAGAGTGATGAATTAATTTAATAGGTTGAGCAAAATATTAAATTTCTATTAAAGCCATAGATTGATTAGGTAAAATAATTCAATCTATAATATTAGTTTTTAAAAATAAATAAAATAAATGTAAAATTGCTTAAATATCCGAAGATTGAATGGATTCCATTAAAAAAATAAGTTTAAAAAATCAAAAAATCAAACTTACCAATCGACACTTAAGTCTTTTTACTATTACACTATAATCAGAATGTTATAATACACAATATCTCACCATAATCTGTGCATTAATATACAAACTACTTTCAAATTGACTAAAATATAAAAGTATATATTCTACTAATTTAGAGATTAGAAGTTTAAGATGTCCAATTTAAATACAATTTTACTACTGATTTAAGGGAAAAATTTAAATTAGAAATTCTGAAAATTCCAAGAGATGTTTGGAGATCTTAAGATGGTATTATTGAGATGATAAAATTAAATTCAAAATTTGCTCTGCATAATTATGACATAAGTGATTAATCTTTTCCATATTTAGCCTAATTATATTCATTAT